TTACGCCAACCTTGTGCGCTGTCTCGATAGCCGTGGCATGCGATTCCGGGCTTCCCTTGGCAATGGCGTACTTGCGCTTAGCGTAGTCATCCAGTATCTTGTGTTCAATGTTCATCTTGAGATCTGTGTATGGAATGAATTTCCTGTTTCCCAGATTGCCAGGTCTGGTTTCGACGAGCTTGGCGCGGTGTGGTACAGATACAGCGACTTCTGTTAATCCGTCATCACTATGCCAGTAGTTTCAGCAGCATGCCCCAGCGCGCGCTCGAACTCAAGCAAGTCAGCCATGAGATCAGTGCCCTCCTCATACTCAATGGTCATCAAGTAATGGTTGATGTAGTAAGGGTCACCATGAGCGCAATATATATATATATATATATATATATATTCGTCGAGCCTTCGTAACGATCGCGCAGCTTCTGGTAGATTGCGTAGGCCGATGTGCACCCCTCAACGGGGAGCACATGCGCATCATCAATTGTGGAGATCAGGAACGACCTCGTCTTGCGCTCCTTTCACGCGAGCTCGGCTTGCGCTTGAAATATGCCTTACCGGTGGAGATGCTCTAATGACCTCTCGTGCCATATTTCATGGAAATATTTGGATTTTCTGCAACAATAATTGTATATTATTTTATTTTATTCGTTTGACTGGTACTTTATATTGTCAATATACTTAAGCATGTTTTATTATTAAGTGTTCGTACCTCCAAATTATGAGCTACATATCTTCTACTACGCATTGTTAAAACATTTGGATCATTGAAAAATATCATAATCTATGAAATACTAATTTATAAAATTTATATATTATAAGTAGTATCATGTAATTATGTTTCGGTCCCCCATTCACTACCAAAAAAAAAGCTACCACTCAATTCCATCCAAAGTGGTTTTCACAGACTTAGAATATATTACATGTGGCAAGAACCCTGATTGATATTGTGCATTTTAAAAACAACAAGCTGTTAATACAACTTGCTAATTTCTAAATTATATTTTATAAATAAAAGTGCTTTGCTTAATCGAGAAAAAAAAATACTTCGAAGTATATCACTGTTGAGGGGATCAAATCTATCATTGCACGAACAAGAGACACGCGAATGCACACATCAAATCAAAGACTTGCGGCACACGGCTGCTGATAGGACAAAAGTCACGCTCTTTTCATCCAATGCCGCTCAGTGGTGTGTTGGGTACGCGACAAAAGCGGGGGTCGTCACTTGGCGTTTGTAGGCAAACACCGATCCACTCGTCCGAGCGGCTAAAAAGAGGGGAGGCATCACACCCACCATTTCTGCTTGGAGTCCGTATCACTCGAACGGGTCACGACTGCCAGACACCATGCAGCGCTTCCAGGTGCGTCTCGCAGCTTGCAGTAACCGCGGCCACAGCATGTGAACTATGTACTAAATAAATTGCTGGTCGTTTGTTCCATCCGCGTACAGACTGCTCTCCGCAACAAGAACGTATGGCAGCGTGCGGCCGTCTTTGACGTGCACCACGCCGGCGCCGCGGCCCGCCGTGAGGCTTCGATGGCCATGTCGGCCCGCAGCTTCAGCTCGCTGCCCGACCACGAGGTCGTGGGGCTGCCGGCTCTGTCTCCCACCATGGAGGTTGGCACCATTGCCAAGTGGAACAAGCAGGAGGGCGACCAGATTTCGGCCGGTGACGTTGTGTGTGAGGTGGAGACGGACAAGGCCGTCGTCGACTACGAGGCCACTGACGACTCGTACCTGGCCAAGATCTTAGTGCAGGCCGGCTCAGGCGAGATCGCCGTGGGCCAGCCTATCTTCGTCACTGTAATGGAGGAGGAGGACGTGGCCGCCTTCAAGGACTTTTCGGCCGACGCTGCTCCCGCTGTGGAGGCCGCTCCGGCCACGCCCGCCGTTGAGGCCGCCCCTGCTGCTGCTGCTCCGGCCACTCCGGCCCCGGCTGCTTCTACTCCTGCTGCTGCTCCCGCTTCGGGCCGTGTGTTCGCCAGCCCTCTGGCCAAGAAGGTGGCTCGTGAGTCTGGCGCTGTGCTGTCTGTGATTAATGGTTCGGGCCCCAACGGCCGTATTGTCAAGGCCGACGTGGACGCCGCTCTGGCCGCCGGCACCGCCGCTCCGGCCGAGACTGCGGAGGCCGCGGCCCCTGCTGCTGCTCCTGCTGCTACGCCGACCGCCACCGCCAACTACACGGACTACCCGATCAGCCCGGAGGCCCAGGCCATCGCCCAGCAGTTCACGCAGCAGAAGCTGGACGTGCCGCACTACCACTTGTCGACCAACCTGACGCTCGACAAGCTCCTGGACGCGCGTGCCCGTCTGAACGCCGGCCGTGGCGAGGACGAGCAGCTGTCGGTGAACGACTTCATCGTGCGCGCCGCTTCGCTGGCCATGCGCAAGGTGCCGGACGCCAACTCGAGCTGGAAGGGCTCGTTCATCCGTCAGTTCAAAGACGTGAACGTCAACCTGATGGTGTCCACGTCGGCTGGTGGCGTTGTGGCCCCCGTGCTGAACCAGGTGAACCGCAAGGGTCTGGACGACATTAGCAAGGAGACTCAGGTTGCCGTGGCCAAGGCTAACGACGGTGAGTTCGAGCCGGCCGACCTGGCCAACGGCACGTTTACCATCTCCAACGTGGGCCAGTTCGACGTGCAGTCGCTGGCCGGCATCGTGCGTCCGGACCAGGCCTGTCTTCTGGGTCTGGGCACGATCGAGAAGAAGGTGGTGCCGAACGACGACCCCAACGCTGAGCAGATTTATAAGTACGCGCAGGTGATGACCGCCACGCTTGCTTGCGACCACCGCGTCATTGACGGCGCTGTCGGTGCACAGTGGCTGGCTTCCTTTAAGGAGCTGGTGGAGGACCCGCTTAAGATGATCCTGTAAGTGGCGCAAAATCGAAACACCGTGAAGCCGCCAGTAAGCGAGTAAGTGATCGAAGGTGTTTGGTTTCATGGTGATTCCATACCGACCTGAACGGCGCTGAACTACTTGGTGTTTTCGTGGTCGTGCAATCCTGTTTTATCTTTGCTGGCCACGGCGTATTGGCGCCCTGATCGGACTGTAGCAAGCTCCAGTACAACATGCAACTGGAGCGATAGATTGAGATGGAGGGAGTTGGTAAAGAAGAAAAAAACATCCTTTGGCCATGCTCTGCTTTGGACTATTACGTGGTAAGAGTATGATTCTTGCAAGCGTAGCGTGGCTTGCCCTCAAAGCTCAGCGTTCCAATATTTGCAGGTGGCACCTATTGCGTGTGGAGCAAGTTACATGCCACCCGCAATTATTGGGGTTAAGTGGCGTCACGTTCACTACGATTGCACCAGGGCGTCCGTGCATGTTGGCTTGACACTTTTCCTTGGCGCTTGCCATTTTCCAGTGCGTCTGCGGAGGCATTCACAAAAGCACCGTCAAGTACCAACAACCATGGCAACGACGTCACACTTCTGGGACGAATGGGAACACAACTACGCACCTGTCGGCAATGACATCACGCTGCACTACATTGACGTCGGTCCTCGTGACGCCACCCCCGTTGTGCTCGTCCACGGTTGGCCCGATCTATGGTTCGGGTGGCGATACCAGATCCAAGCGCTGTCCAAGACGTACCGAGTGATCGCGCCGGATATGCGGGGATTCGGTCGCAGCTCAACCCCTCAGACTGTCGAGGGCTACGGCACCAAGAAGGTGACGGGAGACCTTGCCGGACTGCTGGACTTCTTAAACATCCCTCGCGCTGTGTTTGTGGGTCACGACTGGGGTGGTGCATTGATCTGGCGCATGTGCATGTTCCACCCGGAGCGCGTTATCGCCGCCTGTGGCATCTGCACGCCGTACTTCCCTCAGGGCGATACCTGCGTCGACTACGACAAGCTCATCCCGGCGATCCCGCAGTTCTCGTACATGAAGCTGCTCGGAGACTCGAAACGAGCAGCCAAGCTGCTAGATAAGGATCCGCGTCGTATCTTCACGGCCATGTACCGCAAATACGATGAGTTCGCGGACGACTTTGAGTTTTTGAAGATGGTGGAGAACGTCAATGACTCTGCAGACCCCGTGTACACACAGCGGTCTGAGTTGCTGTCTGACGCTGAGTTAGACTACTACGTTGCGGAATACTCGCGTTCGGGTTTCTTCGGATCGTGCAGTTACTACTCGCAACGCAAGCGTGACTTTGAAGATGAGAAGGACCTGCCTCGAGTGATCAAACACGACGCTCTCTACATTGGTGCTGTGGACGACCCCATTCTTAAACCTGAGTTGGCGGCAGGAATGCCTCGCGTGATGCCCAACCTCAAACAGGAGCTGGTGCACGGCGGTGGTCACTGGCTGTTGTGGGAGAAGAAAGACGAGGTGATCGACATCTTGCAGCGCTGGCTGAAGGAGTTGGAATTGTCTAAGACTGCGGCAGCTCTATAGAGACAGAGTGCATTCAGACGAATAAAACCCATCAAATTTTTAATCAGTTTTTTTCGTATGAATGTTATCCGACGGCAGTGTTCATTTGGGTTATTCGGAACTTAAATAAAGGGGGGGTCAAAATAGTCAAATTTTGGGTGTAATAAAATAGGCTTGGATGGCATTCAGACGAAAAAAAAGCCATTTTTAATGGTTTTTTAATGGTTTTTTTTCGTCTGAATGCCATCCAATATTAAAGTTGCCGAAGTAATTTTCAAACATGTACATTTACTTTATCACGGTTCCTACGCATTCTATGCCTTGTTGCTCGCTTAGTTGCCGCCGCCAATGAGGCCCTCGATGAACTCGTAGAACGAGAACTCGGGCGCGCCGAGGCCGACGCTGTAGATGAAGCGGCTAGCCAGCTGCGACGCGAAGAAGGCGCGCGTGTAGCTCTCCGGCAGGCGCTTGATGAGCTCCTCCTTGGACGTCTTGCGCAGCAGGATCTCCGGGAAGCCGTCCGCGAAGATCTTCTCGCGCAGAGCCTGGTTCTCCCACAGTCCCGAGTGCTGGATCTTGGCACTCAGGTCCGTGATACGCTCGCTCAGCTGGTTGGTCAGCAGCGAGTAGTACGTGCCCGAGCGCTCGTGCTCACGCCAGATGCACTCGAACTCACGCTGAGCGTTGAGGTCGATGCGCTTCTGCACCTCACTCACGTAGTCGGCGTAGAAGGCCGGGGCCTTGCCGGTGGCCTCGTCCACCTGCATGTGCTCGGCGAACTCCTCGTCCGTCATGGACAGAGCGGCCAGCACCTCGAGCGACGACGACGTGACGCCTCCCTTGTTGGCCGACGCGTCCTTGAACAGGATGACGCCAACATCCTCAAGACGCGTACGAGCGTCCTGCGTGAAGAAGAGGTTGGCTCCTTCCACGATGTACTTGAAGCGGAGCGTGCGGCCGTCCTCGCGGTACATGAACTGCTCGACGTTGTTGAGGTTGACGGCAGCGGGACGACCACCGCAGGGGACGAAGAAGTCGGCCGACAGACTTGGACGCAGGTGGAACAAGTTGCGGAACTCCGTGCCGTTCTCCACCACTTCACCATTGGGCAGAGTCACGTCATTGTGCGACACCAGCACCGAGTAGCCCTCGGACGACAGCAGACTCGTGTCGAAGCCCGAGATGGGGCTACGCGCCTCGGCCAGCTTGACCAGGTTCTCGCGGTTGATGCCCTTGGGGTCGTATAGCACACCCGAGCCGTCGACGATGGCGATCGTCTCCTCCTGCGGACTCATCTTGATCTCGTTACTGCCCAGATCTCCGTCGGGGCCACCAGTCTGCACCTTGGTGATCGGCGCCTCAAGCTGCAGCTTGCGCTGGATGCCCAGCACGTACTCGCGCACACTGTGGGTGGTCATGCCGTACACGTCGTGCGGGATGCCGCCACGCGATGCCGACTTGCCCGTGGTGATGGCCTTCCAGTACGAGTAGCCACGCGCCTTGGCGTGTGAGCTGGCCCAGTCCATGAGGTGGGCCGTGCCCTCATCGGGGCCCAGGAACAGAATGTCCTCTTCGGGCTCCTTCATGAGCATCAGGTCCAGTACAGCGTCAATGTACTTCCGGAAGGCCACATCGGCCTTGTCCTGGTGAGCCTGGTTGAGCAGCACCACACCCTTGGAGCCACCCTCCGGGATGTCCTTGTTCTTGCGGTGCTGCGTCGAAGCCAAGCCGTAGCACTCGTCAAACAGAGACGACGCGTTGTTGAGATACACTTGGGCGTGCGACGAGCGGATCATACGGATGCCACCGCGAGCGACGTCCAGGAAACGCACGTGGAAGCCGCGGAACTCGGAGCCGATGACGTAAATGATGGCGTACGGCTCATCCGGGAACTCGGTCTTGCTCAGGAACTTGCCATCCAGACGGAAGGAGAGCGCGGCCTTGTCGTTGGCGAAGAAGTTGGTCTTGCGGATGTGCTTGTTGAAGATGTGGAACAGCGAGAAGATCTGCAGAGCCTGCTCGGCCACGATGGACTTGCGCAGCGTCGACAGCGTGGCGCTCGTGTCCACCTCGGGCCGCTTGCCGTCCTTGGTCGGCTCGTGCAGCGCCTGGAACTCGGCGTACAGGATCTTGACGATCTCGGCCGAGCTCAGAATGTGGTCCAGGATCTGCGACTCCGTGTACGTGTTGAGCTTCATGGTCGAGCGAAGCTGCTCCAGACGAGCGAAGGCGTTCGGGTCGCGGTCACGCAGAGACTTGCTGACAATAGCGAACGACTCCGGCAGGCGGTGCATGAAGTGGAAGGTGAACTTCCAGGCCGCGTAGGCGTAGGCAATCTGCTGCGGGGTCAGCAGACCGTCCGTGAGCATGGGCGTGAGCGACGTGCGGGGCAGCGTGAAGTGCATCGACGCGTCGTTCACAGTGGCGCCCAGACGCTCCTCGAACGAGCCCTTACCGGCCGTCGGGTTGTCCAGCATCTGCAGGTAGAAGCAGTAGATGACGATGCCGTTGGCGAAGAACTCGGCGTACTTGCGCTGCGAGAAGAGGCCGTGCTGACGGTACACATCGGCGATACTGGAGAAGTACGAGTGCGTCGAGCCGCTGCGGTAGGCGATGGCGAGACGCGCCATCTTGGAGCCGTCCGACTCCGTCCAGACCTCCGAGTGGAATGCAGGAGTCATCTGGTTCATGGCCTTGATGATGCACTCCTGGTACACCTCACGGAGACGCGGGCCCGAGCGTTCGAGGAAGACCTTGTCGGCCACCTTGTTGATGTCCGTCTCGTTCTCACTCACGTTAGGGTCAACGAAGTCCGGCTCCTGGAGGAAGTACATGCGCACGTGGTAGGGCACTGTGATAGGGTCCAGCACACCGCTGGAGCGGTAGCACTGCATGCGGTAGGTGCGCTTCTTGGTGGACTCGGCCTTCTCCAGGTACTGGTAACCAGCCTTGACACCGTCACCGATGATACCGCTAGAGCCACTGAGATACTGCTTCTCAATGCGACGCTCGAGAGCCTCCGTCTCCGTGATACCGGAGTCGTAGCTAACGGCACGACGGCTGGGCTTGTTGTTGCTGCCCGCGACGTTACTGAGCACAGAGAAGAAGGCGTCCTTGTCGCCCTCCTGCTCGAGCTTGACGTCCGGGCGGTTCGAGGCCTTGGACATGAGCTTGGCAGCCAGCAGACTCTGGATGTGGTGGGCGATCACGGCCGGGGACTGGCCCAGGAAGTAGAAGTCGTGGACACCCAGTGGGCCATAGAACCACTCGACCTCGTTGGTCACCGCGTCGTCGTTGAAGACCTTGGTAGAGCGGATGAGCTCCTTCACCTCCTCCATCTGACCGGAGATGTCAATCTTGCGGGCGACGCCCATGTCCATGGAGCGGCTGTGGCGGATCTGCGAGCGCGGCGAGACTTCCTCGGTGCTCATGATGGAATTTGGAGAAAAGTGGGGGGTCTGCGGCCGACGAAACTTCGACTTGAAATGCCACGGAGCACGCAAAAAGCGGAATGAAGTCGATGCAAGTGCGTGGCAAGCCGCTGGCTAACTTGAGCGCGCTCAATATGGAAACGCGCACGGAAATCCAAATGCGGCACTCATGCGAGTTGCTGTGCAGCACACGAAAGGACAGCCGGCTAGTTTTGCAGCAAATGGAAGAGCTTCAACAGCAACCGCGTCGGCAGCGTCGACGGCCTCGCGTCAGAGAAACCTCAACGGTCGCCGGTACATCAGACGTACACAAAAGTAACTTGAGCTCAGTATGCCGTTGCACCGGATAGCCCGCCTGTCACATGTCGACTGTGATGAGCTGTCGTCACGGCGCGCGAAAAAGAGGCGACGGTTAACCGACGATGTTAAACCGTGACATCCACTGGCGAACCTCCAGCAGAATCTCGACAAGAATCTGTCCCCTGAATCTGCACTCCCGACAAGCTATGCATTAGGCAGCGAGCCACAGCAGATATATGAATATAATTCACACCGTCCGTTAGAGTATCCTGTCCTGTTGCCAGATGCAGACGAACGATGGCTGTAACTTGAGGTTGCACTTGCGGAAAAAGGGCTTGTTGAACCAGAGTGCAACCGCAACGATTTGGCCAGCTCCCTTTTCGGCCACGTCACATGGGTCTCTGCCGGAGACTCCAGGACTGAACAACACGCCGTCGGCTTGGATGAACAGCTCAGTATGTGACGCGACTGAGGCTCGTGGTACTCTGCTAGACCTCCGTGCTACTCTCTCTGCAGCTTACCTTCGCTTGGTGCCATGACGCAAGCGTTCGCAATGGGGGCGATTGGAGGAAGCCATGCGCAAGGCGAATTTCGCGACTCGAATCAGCTGGTCGCTTCATGTTGCAGCGATTCACAACACGGGCGATGGAACATGGGCCGGGGCATGAAGTTCCTATCATGCGCTCGCCAGCCTGGCGATCTTGAAGACACCGCCGAAATGCAAGCTGACGTGCTGACAGTCTCGAGCACGGCGAGCTTGATACTTGACGCCAGTACACGCACGAAGTCACCAATACATGTCCAGCAAAACTTTCGCCTCTCAACGGGTGTTGACGGAGTTTGTGGCTCGCCGTCTTAAGTACAAATTGAACGTTACACACACACTTGAATCTGGGGATTCCGGTGCAAAACGAAATGGCTACACAATCATTTTCCACAACCTCTGACTTCGCTCCAAAACTCCCACGATCCACTTTTGCAACAAAAGTTTAGGTGCAGCAAAGCAACCGCATTATTGCGGCAGATCTTCAGGTGTAAGGGGGAATCGAAGGGATACCTACACGTGTACGCTTGCAGTGCAAGTTGCACCGATGGAAGGTAGCACTTGGCCTCCGGGCCGGCGTTGTGCGACTGAAACGCTGAGATATTAACTTGTTGCCGCAGTGTGATAATGTGTGCTTCCCTTCTTATCAGCGTCCACCGAAGCTGTAGCTGTCATCGCTCCGCAGAAGAAACAAGCATGCCAGTATCCATGCTAAGTTTATTTAGCCGTATGGAGTAATCCACTGAAGCTGTCTCGAGCGATATGGATTGACATGTACATACACTCGCTTCATTTTCCGCAGGGATTAAACTGATTGTTACGATAGCTGACACGCATCAAGCTACTGCATTGTACCGGGTTGGTATGGTTACTTGGGTAGGAGGTAACTCCACACGTCCTTCTCGATCCTCTAAAGCGATGTCAAAAATGAAAAGACAGCGTTGCTTGGTACATGTAGCAATTTCCTTGATCATTGGGAACCCCACCACCACTCATAAGCTTAATCCAAAAACCGAAGTAGCTTTCCCACTCACATCTCCACCATATTGTGCAGACATCAGTTAGCACAATGTACGTTGTAGCTCGCAATAATGGTGCAGTGCGATGCCGTGCTACACTAGAGCATGGTTACTTACGGAAAATAACCGTAGGGACGGCACGCTTTTCAGCAGTGAACGTCGGAACAAAGGGTACTTCAAGAATGTTTAATCACGGTAAAAGTCGCATTCGTTCAGCTGGCATATCGATAGTCGTCATCCAGAAGGAAAAGTATCTGCATCGGTGAAACTCGTGCATGCTCGTTAATGCGCAAAGCAGCAACCACCCTGACCCAGTCACCACAATTACCAGGTATGTTCTGCATACCAAGTGTATACCTGAATATTCACATTCCAAAGACTTCCAGAGACTTTCGACCCAGACTTCCATAAGCCTCCTTCGATCCACACCGCCCATTCATCCAGCCTTTGCCACGTAGTCGGCGAGAAGAATAAATCAGCTCTTCATCTCCTTAAGCACTCAAGACCAGTCATACATCGTACCTGAGTATTATCCTATGCTGTTGTTTGGCTGTGTGAGCGGGAAAGCGTGACATCGATTTCAGTGACATCATTTCACTCTTCCTCCGAACTCTAACGATTCGGCTAGGTTTCACTTTGAGTCTATGAATTCTCGACATTCCCTGGATCTCGTTCGCAGAGTGCAAGGAATTCTCCAAGACATTAGCGGTATCCTCCACGGAGCAAACTCACGCTGTCACTAGGCCAGTCTGGATCGGGTAAATGCGCTCCCACGGCTGGTCGTCCGTGTCATTTTCAATTCGCTGCTTACGCGAGCCAGCAGGACAATTCCCCACATCTAACGGGCTCTGCAGTTTGACCGCACCTTCTGAGACGGAGAAAATGGAGTGTCATGGAGCAGAGCTGATCTCCAAGGGCTCACAGCAGAACCTCGTCACGAGTAGCTCCACATAGTCATAGCGCATGTTGAGTACAAGTAATCCGACAGACTCAGACTCAGATTGGACTCAGATCGTACTTAGCACGATTCCGTCTCTTGGTGGCCATCGCAGCCGCACATTGCATTAACCAAGTGTATCAATCATGTCGTTCCAGCTGCGTCGTCTCTTTGGTGGTCTGCGCGTGAATGCGGGCCAGACAGCCCGTCGCGGCCTCGAGGACTTCTTCCCGGTACAGAAGGTGGCGGGCGAGGGCGCCAAGCCTAGCAGCCTTACGCAGGTGCCGGCCAGCGTGGGCTCCAAGCAGGTGGTCGTGGGCGGCGACTGGAAGGCCTGGATGTTGCGTCAGAAGAGCACTGAGGACCTACACAAGCTCTGGTTTGTGTTGCTTAAGGAGCGCAACGCTCTTCTCACGGAGCTGCAGCACTGCCGCGCCAAGAACCTGGCCATGCCCAACCCGACGCGACGGACGAAGGTCAAGAAGTCCATGGCGCGGATCAAACTCGTGCTGCACGAGCGCAGCGAGATCTACAAGGCCAACCAGGCCAAGAAGGCGGCCGAGAAGGCCGCGGAGCAGTAATTAGATCGAAGAAGAAGATGAAACAATACAGTGGCGGGAGTGGGCTTGTCCAAGAAGAAGAGTATCGTGTGAGCTTTTCCATGGTTGTGTGTATGTTTTATTTTATTCTAACGTCTTGCTTTGGTAAGACTTCCTGATCACTGCAGTATACCTTGTTACAGTCACTGTTTCTCTATAGAGCTGCCGCAGTCTTAGACAATTCCAACTCCTTCAGCCAGCGCTGCAAGATGTCGATCACCTCGTCTTTCTTCTCCCACAACAGCCAGTGACCACCGCCGTGCACCAGCTCCTGTTTGAGGTTGGGCATCACGCGAGGCATTCCTGCCGCCAACTCAGGTTTAAGAATGGGGTCGTCCACAGCACCAATGTAGAGAGCGTCGTGTTTGATCACTCGAGGCAGGTCCTTCTCATCTTCAAAGTCACGCTTGCGTTGCGAGTAGTAACTGCACGATCCGAAGAAACCCGAACGCGAGTATTCCGCAACGTAGTAGTCTAACTCAGCGTCAGACAGCAACTCAGACCGCTGTGTGTACACGGGGTCTGCAGAGTCATTGACGTTCTCCACCATCTTCAAAAACTCAAAGTCGTCCGCGAACTCATCGTATTTGCGGTACATGGCCGTGAAGATACGACGCGGATCCTTATCTAGCAGCTTGGCTGCTCGTTTCGAGTCTCCGAGCAGCTTCATGTACGAGAACTGCGGGATCGCCGGGATGAGCTTGTCGTAGTCGACGCAGGTATCGCCCTGAGGGAAGTACGGCGTGCAGATGCCACAGGCGGCGATAACGCGCTCCGGGTGGAACATGCACATGCGCCAGATCAATGCACCACCCCAGTCGTGACCCACAAACACAGCGCGAGGGATGTTTAAGAAGTCCAGCAGTCCGGCAAGGTCTCCCGTCACCTTCTTGGTGCCATAGCCCTCGACAGTCTGAGGGGTTGAGCTGCGACCGAATCCCCGCATATCCGGCGCGATCACTCGGTACGTCTTGGACAGCGCTTGGATCTGGTATCGCCACCCGAACCATAGATCGGGCCAACCGTGGACGAGCACAACGGGGGTGGCGTCACGAGGACCGACGTCAATGTAGTGCAGCGTGATGTCATTGCCGACAGGTGCGTAGTTGTGTTCCCATTCGTCCCAGAAGTGTGACGTCGTTGCCATGGTCGTTGGTACTTTAGCGGTGCGTTCGCGAATGCCACCAAGAGCACCTTGCAACCCAAGAAAAAGTGTCAAGTCAACATGCGCGGATGTCCTGACGCAGTTATTTACATTGAGCGTCCCATTTTTCCAGCCGCAATTGGCCGTTTGCTTCTGGCACGTAAACACGCACGTGAGCTGCTGGCCGCTCCTGAGAGATGTGGAGGTTGCAAGCCTGCAGCTTGCTGCCTGCGAGTTGTAGGCCTCCAGTGGTGTAAATTACCTTCGCACGGGTGTATTTCAAGGGTTAACTACCGGTAACGTGCTGCGTTGGCCATCGTTTTTCATGAACAAGTTCGGGTACAGGTAGAAAAATATTTTGAACCCGTAAGAGCTTGACTCTGTGCTGTACTATCGGAATTTGTCATGATAACACAGCCAAGATGATAGTATTCACACTTTGTGTAGTCGATCCTGTAGTCAGTGGAGACTGCAATCTCGATACTTATGCGATGCTTTCCACGTCGTTAAAACTAGGATATTATCTTGGCCTGAAGAATCTTCAGTGAAGATACATAACTTCCCGATACAAAACGGACCGATGAGTGACGGTGCAAGTTCGTAAACCCTGGAAGCAGGTATCATTTTCCAATTCACCGCGTACGCAACACTTACCTGCCTTCAAATTTACAACAATGGATCTCAACTCCTCCTATTCCAGCGCTTGCAAGCCATCGAACTTCTGGGACGAATGGGAACACAACTACGCACCTGTCGGCAATGACATCACGCTGCACTACATTGACGTCGGACCACGCGATGCTACCCCCGTTGTGCTCGTCCACGGTTGGCCCGATCTATGGTTCGGTTGGCGATACCAGATCCAAGCGCTGTCCAAGACGTACCGAGTGATCGCTCCTGACCTTCGTGGATTCGGTCGCAGCTCAACCCCTCAGACTGTCGAGGGCTACGGCACCAAGAAGGTGACGGGGGACCTTGCCGGACTGCTGGACTTCTTAAACATCCCTCGCGCTGTGTTTGTCGGTCATGACTGGGGTGCTGTCATCACGTGGCGGATGTGTATGTTCCACCCGGAACGGGTTATTGCCGTCTGCAGTGTCTGCACGCCGTATATGCCATGTACGTGGACACAGACACGTTAGTCCGCGCTGTTCCCCAATTCTCGTACATGAGCTTGCTTAGCCAACCCGAGGAAGCTGCTAAGTTATTAGATGTTGCACCACGACGGTTGTTCACTGCCACGTTCAGGATCCACACTGATATCGACGCTTCTCTTAGCTTTATCGAGCTACTCCGCGGTGTACCAGCCTCACCGAACCCGATATTCGCGAACCCGTCCAAGCTACTGAGCCAAGACGAGCTGGATTACTACGTTGCAGAGTATGAGCGTTCGGGATTCGCTGGTGGTTGCAACTACTACGCAGCGCGGTTCATTGACTTCAACGATGAGCGTGAACTTCCACGCACCATTTCGCACAAAGCTCTTCTGATCAGTCCTGCGGAAGATCGCGTTCTTAAACCCGAAATGGCAGCAGGCATGCGCAAATTGGTCCCAAATATGCAGCAGCAGGTTGTGGCAAACGCTGGTCACTGGGTTCTGTGGGAGCAAAAGGGCGAAATCACGAGAATTCTGCATCAGTGGCTGGACCGAATCTGCGAACCGACATCGATTGTACCATAGTTGCAGGCAAAATAGCAACTTCTCATCAAATTAGCTGGTAATACATTCGAATACGTAGCTAAGATAATGCAGTTGACTCTTTTCTTCCTCACACTCGTTCCTTTCTGCTTACAGCTTGCTGCGATTAGCTCCAGTAGCCGAGAGCTTGTCCAGCCAGGCCTTCAGAATCCCATTCACGCGTTCCTTCTGCTCCCATAAGACCCAGTGGCCGGCGTCATCCACGACGTGGGTCTCCAGATTAGGTAGAAATCGATGCATTTTGTGAGCCAATTCGGGTTTAAGAACGTGGTCATTTGCCGCGGCGATGAATAGCGCCGGGTGGTTGATGATTGGAGCCATCCCCTGCTCGTCCTTGAAGTCGATCTCTCGCGTCGCGTAGTACTGGCACGTGCTCTGAAACTTGGAGCGTTTGTACTGATCCACATAGTACTGAAGCTCCTTCTCCGACAGCATTGCCGAGCGCTGCGTGAAGATTGGATCCGTGGAGTTTGTCACGCCCTGGAGCGTACCGATAATCGGCATTTTGCCATCTTCCAGCGTCGGACTCATCTCCGAGTGTTTGCGGAATACAGCAGTGAGGAAGCGACGTGGAGCTGTATCCAACATCTTTCCCGTGTTCTCAGCGTCTGCCAGGATCTTCTGGTACGAGAAATACGGGACCTTGGCGACGACAACGTCTAATGGCATCAAGCGCTTGGCTGGAGGCGTGTAGGCTGTGCACACAGCACCAACAGCGATCACTCGCTCAGGATGGTAAAGGCACATGCGCCAGACCTGGCAGAGCAAAGAAACTCGTTAGAACCACCAGTACACTTTGCTGGATTGTAGACAAAACTACCATTCCTCCACCCCAATCGTGGCCGAGGAACGCAGCCTTCTCAATGTCCAGGCCGTCTACGAGTTATCACCAGCATAACCACGTTAGAAACTTAACAAGTTTCAACTTTCAAACGATAAATCACTCACCCAAGAGTGCAGCCAAGTCGTTCGTGACGTTCTTGGCGCCATAAGCCTCCACGTTCTGTGGTGTGGAGCTCTGACCGAAGCCGCGGAGGTCTACATGATATTATCTCGTTCAGTTATCACAGCACAGAATTGCAATGTTTCCTCCACTAACCAGGTACAATGAGACGGTAGGATGACTGCAGTGCCTGGATTTGGTGCTGGAACACGTAATTAACGGTTAGATAACACGAAGCGTATCCAAGATATCCATCGAACGCACCCTCCACCCGAACCAGAGATCAGGCCAGCCGTGCACCAGCACAACAGGCAATGCGTCTCGAGGCCCCACATCCACGTAGTGCAGAGTGATACCTTCCGCCGTGCGCATGAAAGCGTGCGGCCACTGCGCAGCTAGCGACGCCATACTTTAATTAACTACCTGTTAACTACCTGGTAGAAGCAGCAATGAAAGACTTGAAGCACGTTGAAGTTCGGCTGACGTAAACATGTATACTGTATACATCAAAAATAAATACCACGCCAAAAGGTTACGCTCAAGTCACCAAGGGACACAACTGCTCATAACCCCGTAATCTATTCTTACACGATGAACGGCGCTTCCTTCATGGCGTCGCCTGTGCCTCTGGGGATAAGAGCGGAAGACGACGAACATTTACCTCGAGTAGCTATCTGTCCGCATCGTAACTTTCGTTATTGCAGTGGAAGAAGCTGGTTGTCGGTCTCTACCAGAAGCGATCTGTTAAACCTGTATGGCTGGCCCGCGCCTCACTCAGGCCTCGACGCTGACAAGCTCTTACTTCCAGCAGCAGCAGGAGGACAACATGTTCAAGCAGCAAGACCGCTCCCCCGCAGGTGAGACCTTCGCGACCGTCGCGTCGTAACGCTGTGTCCCTAACTGACTCGCTTCTCGTCGTGTTGTTGGGCTCTCAGTTTACATGAGGGTGCCGTTCGCCACTAGACCCAAGAAGGTCGCGAGCTCCGTGACTGACAGCTTCGACCATCCCACAGCGACAGCGAAGCCTCCGCCCATTGGCGGCAAGATCCTCGGTCGATCTGCCAGTCGAGCGGCGTCCTCCGAGTCCTCGACTTCCCGCACGTCGTCCGCGACGTCGGCGTTGGCTTCGTTGACTCGGTTTCATTCGCGTCAGGCCAATCAGTCGACGACCAGTAACAGCTCCAGTCGAGAGAAGAACAACGACGACTTGGACTTTGGCAACAGCACGTCGTTAAATCTACCGTCCATCGGTAATAGCGAGAGGTCCAGACTCACGCCTTCGATTAATGCGACTTCCAGCAACATTGTGACGTCGCAGGCATCCACGGCAACGATTTCATACCCGACACGCGTCAGCAGTGGCAGAACGTCTCCTAGGAATGATTTAGCAAGAAAGAGGCAGCCTCGAGGACTCGTGGGCCTTCAGAACCTCGGCAACACTTGGTACGGTTCTGACCAATTTCATGCTGTTTGGCTCGCTAATACTAACACTTTTTGCTCTGCTTTATAGCTTTATGAACAGTTGTCTGCAGTGTGTGAGCAACCTCCCAGGGATTGTCAAGTACTTCCAACCAGGCCTCTATGCGCGTGAAATTAACGATACGAGTCCTACTAAGGGAGCGCTCGCCAACGCCTTTGGCGATCTCATCAAGGTGTTGTGGACAGGAGACAAGTTCACTGCCACTCGACCAGTTGAACTGAAACGTGTGATTGGAAAAGTTGCGTCGCGGTTTACAGGGTACGACCAGCAGGACGCGCAGGAGTTTTTGCGGTTCTTACTTGACGGACTGCACGAAGATCTCAATCGCGTACTAAAGAAACCGGCCTACTACGAGATTAAAGACCGACCAGAAGCCAAGGACCGAGATGTGTCGGATGAGTACTGGAAATTCTACCTGGAGCGGAACGCCAGCGCGTTGTCGGAGCTATTCTGCGGCCAATTGCGGTCCGAGATTCGCTGCGAGACTTGCAACCACCGATCGCTGTGCTTTGACGTTTTCTGGGATTTATCTCTACCCGTACCCAAAAAATCTGGAAAAAATAATGCCATGCGGGTATCCAGTGGGTTTTTCTCTGGAGGTAGAACCGCCTCAGTTGCTAGTGATACCGCTAGTAGTCCCAATGGAGGCATGTCGATTCATGACTGTCTTAAGGCGTACACGGAGCAGGAGTTCCTCAGTGACGACGCAGCCTACTACTGCTCCAAGTGCAAGACACATCGCTCTGTTGCCAAGAAGATCTCGGTTTATCGACTTCCGAACGTGTTGGTGCTTCACCTCAAGCGCTTCTCCTACTCAACGTTTAGTCGAGACAAAGTGAGCACGAGCATCAGTTTCCCAGCGCAAAGTCTCGACATTGCCGAGTACTGTGCCAGTGACGCTGTTGTCGACGGCAGCACACAATACGATCTTACGGGTATCGTACATCACATGGGCTCGCTGAATGGGGGCCACTACACTGCAGAGTGCCTCAACGCAGACTCACAAGAGTGGTTCGACTTCAACGACGGGTCTGTGACGGCAATTAAGAAGCCTGAACTCTACAGTTCCAGCGCCTACATGCTCTTCTATCAGCGTAGAGAAGAAAAATCCCTCACCATTTGAAAATCGTAGCCGAGTTACATTATTAACGCAATGGCAATAGAGTACTCCGTGTCAAGCGTTAAATTATTTGAAGTACATTTGTGCTCAACGTTTCAAACATTGAAATTAAGCCGTGAGTTTACAAAACATTTTTGTCAAAAGGGACAGTCGAACAGCAAAAACATAATCTGATGCAGGGTAACAAGATGGTGAGTCTGGTGGTCCTATTCGCTGGCAACGAACAGTAACAGATTATTGATCACATGAATGATCTGTACAGGTAGCGAATTCCCGTACAATAATACATGCGTACGAAGTATTTGTGAACGCTTTAGCAGCTCTGTCCTCAGTAATGTATGCTTCGGACGGTGCTGAGGGAACTTTGGAGCATGTAGCAATGGATTGTTCTCGCTGCTTAGTCTGACATCCCGTGGGCAGTGATGCGAATTCTGCACATCTGAAGCTTGGGAGGACGCAATCTTTTGAGACTCAAATTGAGAGGTGTCCAGAGTACCGTGATCCTTACGATGTCTCGATTCAAATCCAAGGAGGCCTTATTGTAGGCCTTGCTTTCTTTCGGCAGTGGGTACGACGGGGTTTGAGTTCCAGCCGCTAAACAGGTCATACTTGTTGGCGTACCGGCCCCGCCTCAGATCCTTCGACCAAGGCTGCTCTCATTCTCCAAAACGTCTTCGACTGCGCACCACACCCTCCAGTTTTTCCTTTAACGTTCGAGATGTCCCGCGCTACGCTCTCGCTCGCTCTGGTTGCAACTACTGCACTCGTCGTGAACGCCCGTCCGACCTACGTGGCTCTCCTCCCCAATGGCGACAACGTTCCAGGCGTTGCGGCTTTGGGCCACATTAACCCAGCAGGCGGGGGTGCCAACAACGACTTCGGCCTCGACTTTGCGAGCGCTGGCAAGTCGTGGACGAAGGAGTTTTGTGAAAAGGACTCGGACGGCGATGGCCAGACTAACGGCCAGGAGCTCGGAGACCCGTGCTGTGAGTGGGCCGAGAGCTCGAACGCCGTCGTCCAGTGGAAGGAGGGCCTCTCTCACCCTGGTAACGCGACGTCCAAGTCCGATCCATCTCTGTGGGCCAACATCTCTTGCGGTTCTTCGAATTCGACGACGACGGGCTCCACGACGGGATCAAGTGCCGGCACCGTGGAAGCCGGATCGACTACCGCTCCGTCGACGGACGCCTCGACTCCTGCGACCGATGCCGCTGCCTCGACTTCGTCTGCGGCTAGTGCTTCGTCTTCGTCGAGCGCAGCTTCAGCTGTCACTCCGGCGCTGTATTCGGCTGTCGGCGTGGTTGCCGCAGTAGCAACCTACTTCCTGTAGACTCTTTAAAGGTATCAAGGACATTCCTTTTGCTTTGTGTTCGTCTTCGATCATGTTCGCAGCTGAAGAGATCAGAGTCACCGTGCTAAAGTTTACCAACGTGCATGCCGTATTCAGATACCATAGGTAACCGGTTGTTCATGTGTCCAACGCGAACAGCAAACGATTATGGATGTCGTACGTCCGTAAAGCTGTAAGCAGGCAAGACCACCGGGATGGTGAGCTCCATTGGCGAGTCCGGTGGTCTTGCCCACATTGTCGGTTGATGACACCCCCGTAATCTTCGCCCGAATTCTCCACTGGTGGCCACGATAACAACGCCTTCCAACACCAATGTATTTTAATGATGCTGGTATTCCAGTGGTGTTAGACACTGCATCGTAGCAATTGCCGTGGCAAGTTGGTGTTGGATTTTTCTTCGCTTTGGTCTTGTTTAGTATCCTTGCGGGCAGCGTTTACGTGATACTTTCGTTCGACATAGTGCCAATGCAAGTGTACATGTACAGCTGGCGATCCGGATGCTCGGGTGTACCAGCAGTTGCTGGTCAAAAAGTAGGCAACTGAAAAAGTGAACCAGACTGGTTACCAGCAGCGTGAAGACCGTCTGGGACGCACTCCGTGATTGCCAAGCCTGATTAAAGCACGACGTCTCGACACAAATCTCCAGGAGCTTCCGTCGTGTGTCCCATGGTTCTTCTACAGATAACGACTCCTTTGCTAACATAACCACCGATTCGGTGCCGAAACTCGATTTCAGTCTTCATTTTCCAAAACGCGTTCGACCCCACACTTCACTTTTTACTCCGTTTCTTCCTTGTGATGTCCCGCGTTACCCTCTCCATCGCTGTTGTTGCGACCGCTATTGCCGTTGCGAACGCCCGGCCGACGTACGTCGCCCGCCTGCCGAACGGTGACAACGTGTCCGGTGTGGCCGCACTGGGCCACGTGAACCCCGACGGTGGAGGTACCAACAACGACTTCGGCCTCGACTTCGCGAGTGCCGGCGAGGAGTGGACGACGGCATTCTGCCAGCAGGATTCAGACGGTGATGGCCAGACCAACGGCCAGGAGCTCGGTGACCCGTGCTGCGAGTGGGTGCAAGACTCGAACGCCGTCGTGCGCTGGAGCGAGGGCGTCTCCCACCCGGGCGACTCGTCGTCCACTTCGGATGAATCGCTCTGGGCCGACATTACCTGTGGTTCTTCTACCTCGAACTCGACGTCAACCACCGCTGGCTCGGGATCCAGCGCCAGCACTGTCGAGGCCGGCTCGACCACGACCACCGGGACGGATACCGCCACGTCTGGCTCAACGAACGCGGCCGCTTCAAGTGACGCTGCCGCGTCGTCGTCGTCAAGTGCGGCTTCGGCCGTGACTCCGGCCATGTACTCGACCGTGGGTGTCGCCGCTGCCATCGTTGCCTTCTTCGTCTAGACTCTCGCGATGTAATAAACGTCAACAAGACCATTTCATTTAACATGAAAACGTGTTCACTATCCCATGGCTGTCGCAAATTAATCTTGAAGATTAATCGTATTATTTGTCGGACTGGGGAGAGGTAAGCTCGTCCATTCACTCAGCACCCCCGAGAGCGACTTGGTGAGCAATTGTTGCTCAGTGAGTCTCCTCTTGAGTCCCTCGTTGCAACGCAAAGCCCTCTCTCGATCTCGACTCTGTCTCGAAGCAATACCCTTCCATACTGAGTTTTCATCTGATGTTGTCAGGACTCTTGTCATTCGTTTTGACCGCTGTAGAGACTCCAGCTCTGCTTCGAGACTCTCGATCTCATGGCGTAGGAGCTCGATCTTTTCTTTATTTCGCACTCGTGGAGTGGCTGCTCTCTTACTTTTCTTTAGTATGGATCCTGCCTCTGTAACTCTGGAACCTGCCTCTGTGTCACTGGGAGGACGCAACATCTTCGTGTTGAGGTCGCAGGCAACGATCAGCGGTTCGTCTTTGACGAAATCCATTGGCCAACTTGTTTCGGTAAAATCGAGCGCGGCGAGGATTTCAGGGATGAAGAAATGAGAGTCGCTATCTTCGAGCAGGAAACTCATGCTAGCGCCGATGTGAGCTTGAATAGTAAAACTGGATATGAGGTAACTCTTCTACGGGTCGCTTGTCGTTGTCGCTGGTAGTCAACACCCGTTGGCCCCCGATAGGTTTACGCGAATAGCTTGTGGTGCCGATAAGGAATGTGTGCGGTTACATAATACGTTTATATTATACTTGATATGAGCTTCAAAGTGGCTGCAACTGTGCAGGATCTCATGAGTTGCGGCAGCGTTGGTCATTCCGGCATGAAATCAACTTTGCAACTCAGGTTTCTAGGGCCAAAAGACGCTTGAAGACTAGTTTTGAACCTAGTTGGGGCCGTTCTGAACCTACGAATGCTTCGTCATTTTCAAGTTTTTCTCGTTTTTCAAAAAGTTTTCACTTCAAAAACGAAGCCAATTAGCGCACGAACGTGTCGATTGTGGATAGTTTGGCACGCCCAAATGCGATCGGGTATGGCACTAAACCTAGATGCAGGTTGCAGCCGCATCAGAACCTTCGTAGGTTAGTACTGACAGAGCATTCCTGTACAACATGGTGGGCTTGCGTCTATAATCAAGAAATTGCTGGTTGATGTCCAGCTCCTCAGTAATACGCGCGATATACAAATTTGGTAGTAGTGCTGATTTCGGGTATTAGTATTAATTCTACTACTACCCTATGCTGAGAATAATACGATACTATAGTAGTATTAGTTTTAGGATTTTGAGGTTACTATAGTAGTAATATATTACTAATACTGGTAATATTCTCTCCCACTACGAACGATCCGTCGCTAACGCTGATAATCGTTGGCGATGGTAATCACACATAACTTCAACTGCTTTGCACCTCGTCCAGGCAGTCGTAAACAGAAAAACACATGAACGACGCCTACCAAACTCGCCACTTGCTCTCTTCAATGCGTCGAATCTCCTGTCGATTGTGACGCAGCAATAATTGCTGCTGGGCCCTCTCATTGTTCGTCCTCGTTCGCAACTTGCTCATTACAAAGGAACCTGTGGAGAATACACGCTCTTGAAAAGCTGTCGAGATACCTCGTCCCAGCCATACCCGTGCAAGTTTTGCGATCGACGGAAACTTGACTTCGCCTACCTCAGCAAACCAGCGGCAGATGTCGACTTTCCCACACAGATCTTCCACATTCCAAACTCGAACATTGTGCTTTCTGTTGAGAGTGATCACCTTCGCTAACTCACAGGAAGAGTAGCTTCGCCTTCATTTTGTTGTAAAGCGCCTGCATGAATAGCTTTGTAGAATACTCGATGTTCAACGCGCATCAGCGTTTTGGCATTCTCCAGAATATTATCGGTAGCTCCATCGGCACAGTCCGGAACACGCAGGAAGTTTTTTGGCGGACGGCCTCGTCCGGGGGTCTAGCAGCAATGACATGGCCACTGTTGTCGATGGCTTTTCGATTCTGTCACGTATCTGGTGCAATGTTTGCTTAATGCATCGCTGGGCCAACTCGCTCAGATCCGTGAGCTTCAACTCAACTCGTGGGAAGTTTTTTTCGTTGGTATCGACGCTGCGAGTTCCGTTTAGGTTGTAGGCCAAAAACTTGTAGGAATTCATTCGAGTGGAAGCCACACGCAGTAACGCATACATTGTCGACGATCGCATTGTTGCCGACTGAGATTCCACAAGAGCAAGTTCTGCCACACGGCAGACAACCGCCTCCAATTGAACTGCCAATTCCCATTCGGATTGTGATATACAATTGAAGACAGCTGCATCACTTGATGAAGCGTTCTGGAAGAACGCTTGAAATGCCGGGTAGTTAATGATCGAACGGCGAAATAGCTTGACCGGGGATGCCACACGAACGTCAGCATCAACCAAAGTAGCTAGCTCGGGTAGTCTGTGGAACATCTGGACTTGCTTGAGATGGGCTATTCTCTCAGATGACCGACTCGAGGCAAAAAAGTTGTTAAGTGCACGCAGCTTTCGAATCAGCGTACCTCCTTCGAAAAACGCTCCACACACACCCCTTTTTTGTCACTACAACCCGCTTCTTGACAAAATCGCTGGTCTTTGGATCCAGGATGTACTCATTGCGTACGTTTTCTTTAAGGCCGATTCCGTATCCGATACAAAGATTGAGCACGTGCATCGTGCAATCTGTCTGCAACGCCGAGTCAAACTGCTTCGAAACCTTCCTAGCGGTAGATGCCGTGTCCGAAAGCATAAAACGGGCCATTTTGTTTACGTCGAGACCATTTCGCGCCTTCAGTTCCTTGTCCAATACACCAGCAACTTCTTCCGAAGTGTGGCCATCGTTTTTGACTTGTGCCAGCAAAGCTAGGTGTCTTGGTTGCCACTTGTGGTCAATGAACCCACAGGATGCTCCTACAATACAGATCTTAGCTGAATTCGTCCAGAGATCGTGTTCTACATTCAGAAATGGCGTCTCAAACACCTCCTTGAACTCTTTTGCTAGTATTTCGGAGACGTCTTTCTTAAAGGCAGTATAGTGAGTATCCAGGATGTCGTTATAAGTTTTGTGTGAAGGAACGGTCACGTCTGGTTTCCCCGTAACACCAGCTAAGAAGTCACGGAAAGCTGGGGTAGTAATCATGTTCCGTGGTAATCCATCACGAACTAGCCACCGAGCGATGTGGCCCGAAATTTTGTCCTTAGTCACTGGAGCATTTCAGCCTAACTTCTTTTGGCGGTTGATCTGCTGGCCTGTCGTCTGGGTAGGCTCCGCTGTACGCTTTGTCTCTTCTTTCGGCTCCACAGCTACCGAGAACCGCTTTGTCCGTTTGGATCGATGTTCCTGCTCTTTTTGAGCCCACTCATGCTCCTTGTGTATGGAAACTAAATGGTCTTTGGCATTGGAGGTGTTCTTCGCCCGACACAGGGAGTCTTGCCATGCATTGTTCTGTAGGCAAAGGAGGTATATGTGAGTGTATTCTGCTCCTTTGTGCATGACCATCTCATCTAGCCGATGTACGTAGTCCCAGATCCAGTTGGTAGCTTTCCTTGGGCGAGCGTGAGATGGGACGTCAGTGGAAGTCTCCTCTTCAGCGTCACGATCGTCCTGTGCGAGGTTTATCACCGCGTCCTGACTTGAACCTGAAACATCTGAGGTACTACTTGGTGTGTACTCCTGCGAGTCTTTGTCAGACTGACGAATTGCCGAACACATGCTCGACTGCAAAACCTGCACATAACATACTGATTAGACCAACACGATACACGTACGAACAACGATCGCACCGCTTAGACAGCTCGGCACCATCGTATACTGCATTGCTGCACAAGTGATGCACCTGACGTCCGCACACGCTGCAAGGATCGATCTGCGGCACGTCTCCCCACTCGCAATCAGCCTTAGCGCACTTCATAGACCTGTGATCTCCGGCGTAAATTTTAAACTGATTGAAGCGAGAGAGGTCTGATAAAGTCACCAGAGCCACAGATCGCGCACCCTCTAAAGATCTTCGAAGGTTGAAGTTTGCGGTAGTAAAGTAGTAATTTAGGTAGTAGTATTACTGCGTTTTTATTCTACAATTCTACTGTCTGTACTATTTGGCGAAATCGAGACACTCTACTACTCTACTATAGTACTTGTATTAGCGATAGTATGTAGTAATATCGCTACTAGTTTTAATGGTTACTACCAACCCCTGATTGTGACTCACAGTTTTAGCGTACGACTTTCGCTCCTTGGTCACGTAAACTTGCACTCTTTGATGGTTTCTATCACGTAATCGGCACAAAGCTCAGTTAGCGGCCATTTCACTTCTTGTTTTACCCTGCAACAAGCACAATGAGTCTCTCATCCGAAGTACAAGCGACCGACGAGCAGTTCCTAACTGAGATTCTGTCACTACTTGACGTTGACGAAGGACGCCTCCCACTGAGTGGAGACCTGCCGCAACCAAAGCTGAGAAAGCTACGTCCTCACCCTGAAAGTGACATAGTCGTCAGGCCGAAACGGATCCGAAAGGAACCCACACCTCGCGTGAGAAACAAAGCCAAGATCGAGCTCTTGCGCCACGAGGTTAAAGGCCTGGAAGCGGTGCTCGCAAGCCTACAGAACTCAAGCCGGGGAGCTACAACCGTTGAACGCCGCCGTGCTGCATCGTTATGGAGGATCATCGCTATGAAGCAGAGCCACGAGCGCCAGCTTGCGGAGCAACGCAACATGGGGCTGAGACGTATGCTCTTCGAACAGTTTTCTCTTACGAGGTCACTCACACACGTGCTCGACGAATGGACAAATCTACCTTCCACAGACTTAAGTCTAAGTGCCAGCCATTGCTTTTGTACATGTTTGAAATAACAGATTAATCAGAATATTCATGCATTGTTAGATAAGACAATGATCTCCCTCCCTCCAAGACAAGCAAGAGATCAAATGAAAACCTCCGTCTAGGGGCTATCCTCAAAATCAATAGCAGCAATTCTCATCAATTACTCTAAAAGGAGCTGCCTTCACTACATGTAGTGCAGCGTCTCAATCTACCTACTGCAGCCAAAGTTTGAGACGGTAGGCGTCACCCCCGTTTAAATAGTACTTGACCAATCGCTCATCGCGCACAAAGCCCAGGTTCTCGTACAGGCGGATGGCGCCCTTGTTGGCGATCTCCGTCTCCAGCATCACCTCCTCGCAGCCGTCGTCGCGCATGCGCTCGATGGCCTTCTGAGCCAGCTGCGAGCCAATGCCGCGGTGGCGAAACTGCTTCTCCACGGCCAGCATGGCGATGTATCCCCTCCAGCGGCGCTTGGGGTCTCCCTGGCCGTGCAGTCCGTCGTCTCCCGTCTCCTCCGGCGTGGCGCCGAGCGGCTCCTGACGGCAGATAATGACACCTACGAGCTTGTGCTGCACTCGCGCCAGAATGCTCAGCTGCGGCCAATTGTATAGGAAATACCGGTACGTAAAGATCGAGTACGGCTCCGACAGGTCCTTGTCGATGAGCTTCACTAGTTCAGCGAGCTGCTTCTCGCCCTGGTACGTCGAGAAGACCACCGCATCAGCATCAGTTGTGCCGGAGGACTTGGACTTGGCCATCGTAGCAAATGCGATCTCTTTGACTTGATATTTGTATGGGTTACAGGGTTACACTACCGGTATACTGATATCAACCGGTACTATTTATCCGTTTCTCTAAGTGCGATCCAGAGTGGCGCACATAATAGACAATTTGGCAATTTGCAAGTAAAAAAGCATTTCAACAAATAACAACAAACAAAAAATTCTATGGATAGTGTTGGTTAGTTACGAGTAAATGAATAGCAAGCTTGTTGATTGTTCATCTGTACGCTGACTAAAAAGCTAATGTAAGAGGCGCGCTTAGAAGCGGACCATGCGCTCCAGCATGCGCTTCTTGTCCTCGAGCTCACGCAGCGTGGCCTCCTCGTGGTCCTCGAGCCAGTCGCGGGCGTCACGAATAGCGCTCTCGACGTTCGTGTCACCCTTTTCACGGGCCATCTCGATCGCACGGTAGATGAACTGCTCCAGGTCGTTGCGGGCCTCAATGCGACGCAGCATCTCAGCGTCGTCCTTCTTGAACTTGTCGGCCTCGGCCACCATGCGGTCGATGTCCTCCTGGCTCAGACGGCCACGGTTGTTCGAGATGGTCGTCTCGGCCTTGGCGCCGGTCTTCTTGTCACGGGCCGACACGTTCAGGATACCGTTAGCATCGATCTCGAACGTCACCTCCACCTGGGGCTCGCCACGCTTGGCACGCTCCAGACCAGAGATGTTGAACTCGCCGAGCTTGTTGTTCGACTCGACGCAGGCGCGCTCGCCCTCGTAGATGCACACGTCCACGGACGTCTGGTAGTCCTCCTCGGTAGTGTACACACGGGTCTTGCGCACCGGGATGGCCGTGTTGCGCTTGATCAGCACCGACATGACCTTGCCCACCGTCTCGATACCGAGAGACAGCGGGGTGACGTCAACCAGCAGCAGCGAGTTGGTGGCGTCGTTACGGATACCGTCCAGGATAGCGCCCTGCACAGCGGCACCGTAGGCAACGGCCTCGTCCGGGTTAATGGACTTGGACAGCTCCTTACCGCCGAACAGAGTGGACAGCATGGTCTGCACCTTGGGGATACGCGTGGAACCGCCGACCAGCACCAGCTCCGTCACGTCCTCGGGCTTCATCTTGGCGTCCTCGAGCACCTTGAGCACAGTCTCCTCGCAACGCTTGAACAGCTCCTCGTTGAGCGACTCGAACTTGGCACGCGTCACAGTGGACGAGAAGTCGACGCCCTCAAACAGCGAGTCCACCTCCACCGATGCCGACGTGGTGGTCGACAGCATACGCTTGGCCGACTCACAGGCCGTACGCAGACGACGCATGGCACGGGCCGAACCCGACGGGTCCAGGTTGCGGTTCTTACGCTTGAACTCCGTGAGCAGGTGCTCCACCATGTTGTTGTCGAAGTCCTCACCACCCAAGTGAGTGTCACCGCCCGTCGACTTGACCTCGAAGATGCCGTTCTCAATAGACAGGATCGACACATCGAAGGTACCTCCACCCAGGTCGAAGATCAGCACGTTGCAGGCCTTGCCATCCGTGCCGGCGTTCGTGTCCAGACCGTAGGCCAGAGCAGCGGCCGTGGGCTCGTTGATGATACGCTTGACGTCCAGGCCAGCGATGGAACCGGCGTCCTTGGTGGACTGACGCTGCTGGTCGTTGAAGTAGGCGGGCACAGTCACCACGGCCTGCGAGATGCTCTGGCCCAGGAAGGCCTCGGCCGTCTCCTTCATGCGCAGAAGCACCATGGACGAGATCTCCTCGGGCGTGAAGCTCTTGTTCTCGCCCTTGAACTCCACCTCGATCAGCACCTTGTCGTCATCGCCCTCCTTGATCTTGAAGGGGAAGTGCGTGGCGTCCTTCTTGACCACCTCGTCGCTGAAGCTGCGGCCAATGATACGCTTGGCGTCGAACACCGTGTTGGTGGCGTTACCGGCGGCCTGGATCTTGGCAGCCTCACCGATCAGACGCTCGCTCTCGTTGAAGGCAACCCACGACGGAGTGGTACGGTTACCTTCGCTGTTGGCAATAATCTCCACCTGGCCGTCCTTCCACACGCCCACGCACGAGTACGTCGTACCCAGATCGATACCGATGACCTCCGAGAAACCCTTCTCGGCACGCTTGGCACGCTCCTCGCGCTCCTTGCGGGCCTTGTTGATCTTCTCCTCGATCTCCATGCGCTTCATCTTGCGCGTGGCCTCGTCCATCTCGACGCCGCTGATCTCCTCGTCCTGCACCTGCTGGGCAGCCTGGGCCTGGGTCAGGCCGGCCTGCAGGGCCTTGTTGCCCTTCTCCACGGTCAGACCCTGGGTGTAGGCGGTGATGGCCTTGGCGTAGTTCTTGATGTAGAAGTGGGCAGCACCCAGACGAGCGTAACCCTTGGCGAACTTAGCGTCCAGGTCAATGCACGTCTTGGCGTCCTGCATGGCCGGGGTGGCCTGGCCCGCCGACAGGTAAGCGGCCGAACGGTTCGAGTAGTAAATCACGTTCGAGGGCTCGTACGCGATGGCCGTCGTGAACTCCTTGATGGCCGTAGCGTGGTCGCCAGCGGCGAAGGCGGCGTTTCCGCGCTCCTTGGCCTCAGTGCCAAGCTTGGCACGCTCCTCGGCGGGGACGGCGGCGTACACGTCCTTGGTGGTCTTACGGGAACGACGCTTCGGGGCCATTGTGACGACAGCAAGAGGGGAAGAAGAGAGTGACTTGCCCGCTGGTTTCCGAGTTGGAAAATGACGTCGAGGGGGATCTAGCGGGCTCTACTAGCCAACCGAGTGGGGTTGGCATTGAGCAACTTGTAAGAGACGGTGTAGGAACCGGTTGCAGGTTTGGGGGAAAACCAAGTTGTGAATGGTGGGAACGTTGGAGCTCTGCTGGCCAGTAGTTTTCAAGGAGAGGCGCTAAGTTCGCCTTAAGTTCGCAAATGTTGAAGCGACCATCTGATTCGATTGCCGATTTGACTGGCAAAGAAAAAAAGGAACGCTGCCAAGGATTTCGGGGCTCGAAATGCGGACGAGCAGCTCGGTCTCTTGACTGTGTGGCGGTCTGTGTGTTTCATCTGAAGCAGCGAGAGCGACTGGGCTACGTTAGCGATATCGCTGACAGGATGCACAAGGCAAGGAGTTTTGAATTGTCAAACATGTCGCTGCAGAGCAAGCAACCGGGACTGATCGTTTTAACAGCACGTTGCCGCCGGAGTTGACGCTAACTAATAGTTGAATCGCCAGACCGAGTGTAGTGACTCCGTTTCGAACACGCGTTTGACACTTGCCGTTAATCAGAGCAGGGGAGGTGCTTGGTGCGGCTCACATCGTCCACCTTGAAGCGCTAGCCAGTACCGCTCGTCGATTAGACATTCCAACTTTGGTGACTCCAGTCGAGTCGCGAAATTTGCTAATAGTAAATTTCGTTTGTGAAAACATTGACAATTTTGCGTAAATTTTATCGGTGTCACAAAATTGCTCGATTGTGTATGTAGTTCAGTAGTTTTTTTTATTGGAACGAGTGCATTTAGAGAGATTGGTACCTCGTTTTGTTTCTCTTAACCCCCTTGCCAAGTACTGCTACCGCTAGCAATTACTCATCACAACAATTCAGTTTCTCGTTGTTCGCCTTCAGCAATGGGGGCATTTACTCCTCCACCGTGGTGCAAATACACTTCCAGCGGAAGCATCCATGACTCACAAAACTTCTTTTCTCGCAGATTGTCCTGTTAATTTTGTGAATATTCGCCTCCAGCAAAACTCTTCCTAAACAAAGAAAGCGTTGGCCAGCCAAGCTTCTCGGCTTAGCCTTAGCAACGCTAGCATTCTTTCAGCTGCACCCCGAAATAGCTCTCTCCAGTCAAGTTGTTAGCGCCTGCCTCCAGCAACGGAAGCAGGTACTCACTATTATTTTACAAGGTTTACGTTTTTTTTATCAAAACCATGTCAAATTCTCTTACCAAGATGCTAAGTCTGAAGCAAATCGACTTGTCCAGTAGACGACTGGAATGGATAACTAACACGCGGCATCCTCGAGTTTATATTTTAAAGGTTTTTCAGTAATATATACTTAACTTAAATAGAAGGCCATTTTCATCATCATCATCATATTGCTTCGTGTTCTTGCTCGTGAAAATATCTTCACCATGGATCGCAAGATCGCTTACAACGCCGCATGCAGCCCAAAGAATGTCGGACCGGTTCTTGTGTTAGTTTGATTGCTTTTGTGTTCGATAAAAGGCTTGCAATAATGACATACAAGAAAGCAAGCGTTTTGCTAAAATTCGATCGGTGGCAGTGTTGTCGAAATCTATCAATCGGTAAGACGTCGGTTTGATCAAAATCCAAAGCAAAAACTAAAATTCTCATAATCCATGCGAGTTTTGAATCTGAGTTTACAGTACAATTTCCCAAATTCCTTTTAGCCATGGGGTTAACGTTGGTAGAACTGCTTACCGACCAACGTGCAGAATGTATCATGTCATTTATCGATTGGAAGCCGCTATGCAGGGTAAGTGAGCGCTGGATGTGTCCGATATTTCAGACTCATGCGAGTATGTTGGATTGGAAAGAGCTCTGTTTGAGTGGATACTTCCGATGTTCGAGGCCCATGTAAACAAGTTGGAATGGGAGGATCTCTGTTTGAGCTCACAAGATTGGCTGCTCCGTTGTTCGAGGCGTATCCGCACCTACTCGATTGGGCGGCGTTGTGCAGATTAATTCGTTCGTGGAAACTGTCACTTTTCCATGACCATCTGGACGAACTGCATAGGTACGAGCTCTCCGCTCACGCAGGCGAGTGGATGCTGCCGTTTCTCGTAGAGCACCATGACATGCTCGCCTGGGAGTGACAGATGATCTTCAGCCATGGATGCTACCAGTATTGTTAAAAACGAACCCGGACAATCTTGACTGGGAGGAACTCTCTTCAAATGCAACATTGTGGATGCTCCCGTTGTTAAAGGTTAATGTCAACAGACTTGACTGGATGATGGTTTCATTGTTTCTAGAAGAGTAGATGTTGCCGTTGCTGGAAGCGAACGTCAACAAAATCAACTGGAAAATTTACGAGAAGAACTACTATCTTAAGCCATGGATGCTTCCGTTGATGTTGAAAGAAGGCCCCGACCAACTCAACCAGAAGCTTATTTGCGCCGACGAGGAGGCCTTCCTGAAAACGGACTGTGAGGAACTGAAGTGGTGCGACGAAGACTTGGTACAGGTACTACTTGGACCCATAGTCAATCGGATAAAGAAACGTGGTCGTGAAGATGGAATGGAACCAAAACGAAAACGCGCCAGGTCGTTTTGATGCACGTACATGGACAAGTTTTGACTCGTTTAACTCGAATCAACTTCAATTATGATCTCCACAGTCGGTTGGGACAAGAATAAGCCACTCTTGACTTCCGAACCCGTTTGTGCTTGACTTGGGTAAAAAAAAATGTAGTAGCTGTTTGTTTGGTCCTGCTTTGTGCGCTGTGCAATAGAGCATTTGAAATGTATCTTAATTGAAGGTTACTAAACCACTAATTAGCCCAACTCGCGAATAGCAAAGTGTTATGTTTTCATTTACACAAACACTACTGCTTAAAAACGAGTTGCTGCAAAAGAAATCTACAACACTAAGCCAGCAAGACCGACAGCTTACAGGTGCTGCGCACGCAGCGCCTCAGATCCGTCTGTCTTCAGTAGCTCCGGCACAAACGGAATCAGTGCATCGATCTCCGCCTTCACGTCCGGCGTGATCTTCGAGACCGCTTCGATGGCCTTTAGGTTTTGCTCCAGCTGCGTCGGCGTCTTGGCGCCAATCATGACCGTCGACACATTCTCATTACTGACACACCAGGCCAGTGCCAGCTCCGCCATAGAGATGCCGAGCTTCTCGGCCACCGGCTTAAGCTTGTCCGCCTTGGCTACACGCTCCGCAAAGTCCGGTGTGGAAGCCTTGAACAGCGGATCCTCCATACGAGAACCCGCAGGCGTACCAGAACTGTACTTGCCTGTCAGTGCGCCATACGCAAGAGGTGACCAGGTCGTGAGGCCGAGTTTGTACTTCTTGTACAGGTCGACGTACTCGAAGTCCACTTTGTTGCGATCCAAGATGCTGTAGATCGACTGCTCCACGATGGGACGGATGAGGCCAAGACGGTCTGCGGTCTCACACGCTTCGATGATCTGAGCAGCGCTCCACTGGCTGGTACCCCAGTAGAAGGCCCAGTCCTGGTCGATGACAAAGTTCATGGCTCGGACAGTCTCCTCAATGGGAGTGTACGGGTCGGGACGGTGGCAAAAGATGACGTCGACGTACTCCTGATCCAGTAGCTTCAAAGAAGCCTTTGTGCCTTCCACGATGTGCTTGCGGCTTAAGCCCTGCTCGTTGGGGCCAGATTCATGCACAGTTTCATATGGCTTCGGCCCGAAGAAGATCTTGGTGGTGATGACGAGATCCTCGCGGTGCCACGTTCCTTCGGCGATGCCCTTCTTGACAGCGGCACCCAGATTTCTCTCAGCGAGACCCCCGCCGTAACCCTCAGCAGTGTCGAAGAGGTTGACTCCGTGCTCGAAAGCCAGCTTCATCATGTTGTACCATGCGTCGGCCGTGTAGTTGTCTTTGACGTCCATCCAGCTGCCAAGCGAGAGCTTGGAGACGAGTAACCCGGAGTTACCGAGGAAGCGATAGGTCATACCGGAGGACTTGAGGTTAGCGGTAGCAGCAGAAACCATGGTGTTTGCTTTGTTGGTCGTTGTTGGTAGTCCGTGGTGAATTCGGAAATGAGCTTGTCGACTTCAGAAAGTGGATTCGGAGTTGGGAGTACCGATTTGGCGTGGCGGCGAAGGTCAAGTAATAGATTACTTGACCTCCTTGATGCTGTCAAAAGCAGTCCGCACGGTTTTAATCAAGCACTTGGCATGACTAACCGGATGTGTAATAATCTTCTCGTGCTACCGTTGGGGATGCCACATAGTGGATGAGCAGCAGACCGAACGGTGTCGGGACGGAATAAATTAACGTCTTCGAGAGCTCTGAGGCACTTATAATATAGTCTATATTGTATTGATTACAAGGCGATCGCGGTCTGTGTAGGTGGTCGTGAGGGATGAACGAGGTGACTTCTATTTGGTATTTTCATTACTGTTTTAATTTGCTTTAGACAGTTGTTCCGTTCTATCTACTCAAATAGTACAAGTGATCAGGGTTTGGGCCTAATCTATATACAGCTTATGAAACTTATCTAAAGTGAGTAGAATTGAAAGCTCTGAACACCAAACAGAAAGTTGGGCTTAGTAGATATCTTCAGGGGTGCTGTAGATAGTGAAACGTGCCGTACCAGACGACATCGGCCTGGCCTCGACCAACGAGGCATGGGATCTGCATGGGCATTGTATTTGGAGCAGCTTTACGCCAAATCATCAAATCATGATTATGTTGTCACAGGATCTACATAATCTATTTGGCACGTCACAACGAAAGTTCATAATCAGACTCTGTTACTACGAAGTACGATACGATTCGTTTGGCTTCGAAAATAAGAGATCTATTGATAGTTTCCTATTGTGGAAACGAGGCAACCTAGAATCAAGACAAATGACACACAACCATGGATAGAACCGCCGAATTCTTAGGACGAAGAATGCAACACTATGGTAATAAGAAGCACAGAGCCACGAGAGACGGTAGGCATGTTAGCCGTATCATATTCACTTTAGGCTTTATATCCCTGTCTGTTCTTATATATATTAGCTAATACTTCGAAGTATAGAATCCTATGTAGGATTGTTTGTCAGAGATAATGCATTAATTCGTCTCCACCAGACGAAATAGCCGCCCCAATACCCCTCCCTGATTGATGATTGCGAAGTAAACACCACAGGCACTTCGATCTCATTTATGTTCAAGCGGTTAGTCATGCCAAGTGCTTGATTAAAACCGTGCGGACTGCTTTTGACAGCATCAAGGAGGTCAAGTAATCTATTACTTGACCTTCGCCGCCACGCCAAATCGGTACTCCCAACTCCGAATCCACTTTCTGAAGTCGACAAGCTCATTTCCGAATTCACCACGGACTACCAACAACGACCAACAAAGCAAACACCATGGTTTCTGCTGCTACCGCTAACCTCAAGTCCTCCGGTATGACCTATCGCTTCCTCGGTAACTCCGGGTTACTCGTCTCCAAGCTCTCGCTTGGCAGCTGGATGGACGTCAAAGACAACTACACGGCCGACGCATGGTACAACATGATGAAGCTGGCTTTCGAGCACGGAGTCAACCTCTTCGACACTGCTGAGGGTTACGGCGGGGGTCTCGCTGAGAGAAATCTGGGTGCCGCTGTCAAGAAGGGCATCGCCGAAGGAACGTGGCACCGCGAGGATCTCGTCATCACCACCAAGATCTTCTTCGGGCCGAAGCCATATGAAACTGTGCATGAATCTGGCCCCAACGAGCAGGGCTTAAGCCGCAAGCACATCGTGGAAGGCACAAAGGCTTCTTTGAAGCTACTGGATCAGGAGTACGTCGACGTCATCTTTTGCCACCGTCCCGACCCGTACACTCCCATTGAGGAGACTGTCCGAGCCATGAACTTTGTCATCGACCAGGGCTGGGCCTTCTACTGGGGTACCAGCCAGTGGAGCGCTGCTCAGATCATCGAAGCGTGTGAGACCGCAGACCGTCTTGGCCTCATCCGTCCCATCGTGGAGCAGTCGATCTACAGCATCTTGGATCGCAACAAAGTGGACTTCGAGTACGTCGACCTGTACAAGAAGTACAAACTCGGCCTCACGACCTGGTCACCTCTTGCGTATGGCGCACTGACAGGCAAGTACAGTTCTGGTACGCCTGCGGGTTCTCGTATGGAGGATCCGCTGTTCAAGGCTTCCACACCGGACTTTGCGGAGCGTGTAGCCAAGGCGGACAAGCTTAAGCCGGTGGCCGAGAAGCTCGGCATCTCTATGGCGGAGCTGGCACTGGCCTGGTGTGTCAGTAATGAGAATGTGTCGACGGTCATGATTGGCGCCAAGACGCCGACGCAGCTGGAGCAAAACCTAAAGGCCATCGAAGCGGTCTCGAAGATCACGCCGGACGTGAAGGCGGAGATCGATGCACTGATTCCGTTTGTGCCGGAGCTGCCGAAGACAGACGGATCTGAGGCGCTGCGCGCGCAGCACCTGTAGATTTCTTTTGCAGCAACTCGTTTTTAAGCAGTAAATGAAACATAACACTTCGCCTTCGATTGTAATATTTGGGATATAGTGTTATCCACTTATAATTTTTTAACTAATCTTTATTGTAATATTCCATTTGAAAGTGTTTTGCATTATGCAGTTGACGATAACTTTGGTAAATATTAATACTAAACTATTTGTTAGTATAAAAGTAAAGTACTTTGGAAGTGATATTACTGGTAGTAGTTATGATCGACGCTTAAAAACAATCCTACTAGTTGGGTAGTAACTAGAACGTGAGCTAGTTGAACAAAACAACTACTACTCAACAACTGGAAGATATCTTTGGTGGCTTCTCCCTTTCGAACAACAAATACAATAACCTGATTTGGGTACCTGCAAAAACCCCACTGAGGACTTGTGCTCTTGTTTGGTTCAAAGAGTCATATATCGGGGATGGTGTGCCATGCTTTCGAAATAGATAGTAAGGAATTCGTACGTTTTTATCTGCACGTTGCGTTACCACCGGTGGGGCACAGCTTATTCCGAGATACTCAACTAAACAAAGCTCAAGCCTCAGTGAAGTGGACCAAACAAGCTGCCCCCATAGAAAGTTTTCACAAGCGACCCGTGGTCGTCTATGATAATGAAATCCGTCCGCTACCTCTACCCATGATTCGGACCACGTCTCTGACAATGCTTCGCACATTTACAAGCGGAAACCCGCCACCTCCCACACTGTAATTTCGTCGAAAGCAACGAACGAGTACATGGCCTCGACATATTTGAAAAGAGTTATATAAATCTCCGGTGTTTCTTTTAAAATAAAAGAGCTTAATGTCATATCTCCCTTATCTCAAACACATGAAAAAGTTGCATCTCGATGGTCGACAATAGTGCTATTACAGTGCTATAGTACTTGTTGAAGCTGTCCCTTATCTACTATTTGCTATTATCGCAGATTTTGCATTTATGATTACTATCATACTAGTTTGGAAGAAATTCATTCAACTTTAATCCCTGTCAATAAATAAGTAAGCTCGTTGACAACTTGTCAAGAGAATACAATTGAATCGTTTTTTCAACGCCTGCTTGAACCTCGAGCACACATCTGGTTTAGGCATGGTGTTAAGGTTGGTGATGGTAATACTGCTGACCGACAAGCGCGCAGAATGCATCGCGTCCTTAATCGACTGGAAGCCGCTGTACAGGAGAAGTGATCGCTGGGTGTTCCCCGATATTTGTGGCTCATGCGAACAAGCTGCATTGGAGAGAGCTCTGTTCGAGCCCGCAGTAGTGGATGGTTCCGATATTCGAGGCTCACGTGAACAAGGTGCAATGGAAAGAGCTTTGTTTGAAGCCACAAGAATGGATGCTCCCATTGCTACAAGCACATCCGAGAGGGATCAACAGGGAGATCCTGAGCGAGAGACTGCAACCGTGGATACTCCCGCTACTTCGCACTCATCCGTATCGAGTAATGTGGTACGACATTGGTCGTGTGCATGAAAATTGGATCTGTCCATTTGTTGAATAAAACCTTGACGAAATACCTTTACCGCGCTGTGGGCATCGCGTCGAACGCCATGGATGACGCCACTTCTGCTACGCCATCTCGACAAGTTTTTGTTTTGCTATCGGTATTTCTTGGACACGAAGTCGATTGATGGCTTAAAAAAAAGAGGAAAGAAGCCAAATCGGCAACGTACCAATTTTCTATGTTGCGCTTGCTAAAGCATTAGAGACTTGTCCCGTTTCGCTAGCTTTAAAGCAATTTTGTTTTTAAGTAAAAAAAAATACTACGTGATTTCAAGGCTTTATACTTTTTTTCTAAAGTGTTTTTCATGATTGCTTAACCTCATCTAGATGAGAGTGAGGCTGGTGCCGTTGTTGGACAACTGCACAATTTCCAGGTCCTGGTAGGTTTGGATGCAGGCGTACAGCTGTTGAGAGGTAAAGCCCTTGCGCAGTACAACCGGTTCCAAGTCGCTCATGGCGAGAATCTTGAGATTGCGATCATTGGCGAACTCCTGCACCAACCGGAAGATCTTGGACGTAGCATCCGTTGACCCGCCACTGCTTCCTGCCCCCGTCTTGCCACTGTTTCCTGTCCCATTGGCATCATCCTGCTCTGACAACGACGCCTTGGACACGTACACTAGTCGAATCGCTTCGTCGACATCTTGGCGGATAACTTCCGTAGAGAACCGCAGGCGAGCGAGAGCCTGTGAGAGACGGAGAATACTCAACAACTGACGCGCTGTCATGGCCGTCTGGGCATCGTTCGCACCGCCGTCTCCGAATTGCTGACGGAATTGCTGCTGCTGTCGCTCACGCGCGTGTTCATTGGCGTCCTGTTGACGGAGTGTCACGTACGCCTCGACGATATAGCCGCAGAGATCCTCCGGGATGCTGGGCTGATACTGCTTGGCAATGGCAATGAAGTATCGTAGCACTTCGGGACGAACAGGATCGAACTTCATCTCTGGGTTTCGTGAGAACCGATGCACATACGTCACGTGACGTGCCAGCGCCTCATCCTTTTCGTAATTGGCCACATCCAGTAGTAGAAACAAGAGATCGAAACGAGACAACAGCGCGTTGGGCAGGTTGATGTTCTGAGACGCACTGAGCTTCTTGTTGTACCGTCCGTAGATGGGATTTGCTGCTGCAAGAACAGACGTACGCGCATTGAGCGTCGTGGTGATGCCTGCTTTGGCAATACTCACCGTCTGCTGCTCCATGACTTCGTGAATGGCTGTACGATCGCCCTCTTCCATCTTGTCGAACTCATCGATACAGCAGATTCCCATATCCGCTAGCACCAGCGCACCGCCTTCAAGTGTCATCTCCTTTGTGGTGGCATCGCGCACCACTGCAGCTGTCAAACCCACGCCTGAACTTCCTTTACCGGTCGTGTATACTCCTCTGGGGGCCACAGTAGCGATATGTTTGAGAAGCTGCGACTTGGCCACTCCAGGGTCTCCCATAAGCAAAACATTGAGGTCTCCACGCAGCTTCATGCCTTCATCCATACGCTTGGTAACACCACCGATCAGTAGTAACAACAGCGCCTTCTTGACATCCTCGTGGCCGTAAATCTCCGGTGCCAAAGACTGGGACAAGACCTCGTACACATTCTCAGCGCCTTCCTGTAGTCTCAACACGGCGCTTTCCATCGCCTCAGACGACTCCATAGCGGAGTACCGTTTCTTATGGTTCACCACGTCTGTCGCCTCCAAGTACGTCTCCGTCACCAGCCCCATTTGCATCTGTCGTTGCGGCGAGTACGGGAGCGGCAAGAAGACGCCACAGATGGTCACTAGAGCGCCAGGCTCGCACGTCCGCGTGAGTTCGCCTCGTAGATACACTGTAAGAGACCGTGGAATGTGTCCCATCGGCACTTGATCCGGCAGCTCCTGGAACTTGACTTCCTGGTACTTGTCGAACTTGGAGGCCTTGGTTTGCATGATCAAACGACCTTGTGCCTTGTTAGCCTCACAGCGTTCACTTGGACACTGTGTCAAGGGGTTAAATTGCCGTGCTTTGACTTCCTGGTACACTTCATAGGCGCAAGCCTCGCACGTGTACGTGGCCACAGTCAGCAGCGGCTTGACGGTGGATACTCTCGTTACCATGCCCTTAATACGGACCAGAGCACCAACTTTGGCTGCCTTTACGTCTCGAATGGGTACAGCTTTGAGCTTGACTCCAGGGATCAAATGCACCTCAAAGCGACGCATTAATGCTGGTGGGAACATAGTGGCAGCGTTGGCGTTTGAGGCCGCTTGGCTCTCTCCTTCTTCTGTTTGACGCTGCTGGGCTAATTCCTGAGCTCGAGAGATTCTGAGGACGTCTAGTACGTCTTGAGAATCAGAAATGTCCCTTGTAGGGGCTGGGAGGTTCTCGTCCACTGCGTCCGAGAAGAGAGCGATGTATCGACGAGCATTGCGCACGATACGGGACACAAAAGTCGGGTCGTCCTTCTCGAACTATTGCAAGTAATAAAAAAAATAATTAAGCTATGAGAGTAAAAGCATAATAACTGTGATTATGACGTACAATTTGAACGTCGTCCAATGCAATGGGGATGGATGTTCGTTCTCGGTTTGCCACCTCTTGCTGCGATAACGACGTAAAAACATGGTTAAAACTTGCGATATAGGTAGAATCCAGAGCGGAATTGTACCATCATTCGCGCGTATTTGGGGCCTAACGCCGGGTCGTCCAGGTTTGATGTGAAGTTGAGTAGGAACTCGGCGCATTTTGCTGATCAAAAGTGGTTTTTTTAGCGGCAAATTGGCGTTTAATTATCAAAGTTTCGAGTATTTTACCTTTCTCCTCTTCGTAGTTGGACATACCAACACCTCCCGACGCATCGCCGCCTGCACCGACGCCCCCGAACGTCTGTGAGAACGACTGCGACTGCGACGACATCTCTCGGTTTATTACTGTGATGTTCCCGCCAAAAAAATATTTGAGATAAAATGTTTTGCACCAATCACATATTTTTATTTGTGCATCCAAAGAGGCACTGATTTCGTCCAATCAAAGAGGCATTTATCGTTGAAGTAAAGTGTCGGATACTCTTGGCGAGCATGGCGACAGAGGCATTGAGGCGACTACGAGAGGAGATCGACGCTGCATTTGAGGTCCAACGGCGGCCATACAATGAGAGAAGAGTGGATTCAACGTCGCTAGAAGTTTCTACGCCGAAATGGGCCGAGGTGACGGCGTTGCTGGCATCAGTAGGTCATCCAACACCCAAACAGTCAATTACTGGCGTTGCGGGGCAAGTATCGACGTCTCTGCGGCCTGTCAGAGACATATCCAGGCGAGAGAAGCTTCGGCAGCTGACAGCAAGCGAAAGACAGGCGTTGATGCGTAAATTCATGATCGAATGGCGTCGTATTGCTCATGCATCTGCTGTCGTCACGAGGCTGCACATTCGCGCTCAAAGGCGGCGAAAGCAACACGTTTTAGGCATGATTTTCACTGCGTGGAGACAAAATACTGTCTATAAGTTAAGACTAAAAACAGTGGCGAGTATTGTGACGAAGCGGGCAAAATGCAAAGAACTGGAGGCACTATGGGAGAGATGGACTTCTGCCCACCGTTTTGCTGTAAGATTAAAAGAGTTCCGCCTAAAAAGACATCGGAGATTGAGCTGCGAAGCGTTTTGTACGTGGGTACTGGCTGCAACTCAACGTGCAAGGTTTAGAAGGTACAAACAGAAAGCATCGCGACAACTTCTGTGGCGTTATTGGAGGTGCTTGAAGGCAGCGATCAAGACGCAACGAATGATACATTGCGAGATTAAATATTTTATTGCACGGCGGATACTAGAGCTGAAAGAGCGCTGGTTTATACTGTGGATTGAGTACATTGAACAGCGAAAGCAGTTGCGATTCGCTGTTGGGTGGAGTGAACGACGAATTTTAGGTGATGCGTTTGATAATTGGAGAGAAATTCATGAAAACACGAGGCGTGTGCGTCATGCACTGCAACTTGCCACTCGACGTCGACGTCGCTGTAAAATTCGAGAGATGTTGAAGATTTGGAGGGTTTTTATCCAGAATTCGCAAAAACAAAGGCATCAACTTGCTGCTGTACTCCATACTCAATACCGTCGACAAGCCTTCACAAGCCTTGTGTTGCATACACAACTCGGTCGTGAGCGAGAACGTTCATTACAAGACTGGAAAGTACGTCGAACAGTCTGGACATGGCTACATCACTCACATCGAGATCGAATGCTACGGCTGCGGGCGGAATTCCTGAAAGAAAACCACGATCGATTAGTACTGCGTACTGCTGCTTGGCGTCCTTGGCGGCGCAATTTTCAGCGTTCTGTTGGTATACAAGAGTTCAAAGCAAAACAGCGCGTCAAGCGACTACGAAAGTGGTGGATGGCTTTTGTACTCGCGGCCAACCAGCAGAATCAACAACGTCTATTTGCTGAAAGTATTTTGGACAAGCGTGAAGTACGTAAACTACGACAAGCACTTGGTGTATGGCAAACTCGAACAAGGTCTTCGTGTGAGTTTAAAGCGCTCGTTGCTAAAAGTGCAGTGTTTTATCGCCAATTGCTGCTGAAAAGGGTAATGCGGGATTGGAAAACCGCTTATCAACTTGCGTTTAAGAAAGAATACCTGGATGCCAAGGCTGTTAGACATTTAGCGAGTAAGATGTTAAAACATTGGGCGAGGTGGGCGTATTGGAGCTGTAGAGAGCTGGAGAAACGAATTGCTCTAGTGAAAGAACAAAGACAGCAAAAACAGATACAACAGTGTATCTCGCGCTGGAAAGAGATGGTTAATGCTCGACACATAGCACTCTACAGCAAATATTTTACTGCGTGGAAATTGTGGACCGACATACAGCATCGTCAGCGTCATTTATTGGAGCTACGTCGTTTAATCCATCTTCGCTGGCGTTGGCAGCGTTGGGAGTTGCTAGCGCTGCAATGTCAGAGCCTGCGTGCACAAGCAAGCGAGGCGCAGAAACTACGCGAACATCGTTTGTTGAAACATTGTTTTGCCACTGTATGGCTCCGTAAAACTCGCAGGTATAAGTTGGGGTCCACTATATTGGCAGCGCTATCTAAACAACACATACTCGAGTGTGCAATATCACGATGGAGGCAAAACCAATTGCGGTTGAACGCTGTGAGACTCGCGTCACAGTTTTATCGCAAGAAACTACAATCGCAGTATCTTCGATTGCTCTTTGAACGGACTGTAGGATGCAAACGCACTGCTATCGCGTACTATAGAAGACGGCGTATTTTACGTAGTTGGAGCTGCTGGAATCAATATTTTACGTTAAGACGGAGGAGATGTGAGGCGGATAAGTATTTCCAACGCCGTTCGAAGCAAAAAGCGCTGAATTTGTTGCACAAGAGTGCAGAGAGCTCGATAAGGAGGCGAAGCCAGCGTCTTGACGCTGAAGCTTGGTATGATGCGGTTTTGCTACACAATTTTTTGTCTAAATGGTTTGCAGCTGCAAAGCGTGCTCAATACTGTCGATATTTGGGAGAACGTCTGGCATGGAATGGCATTGGACGACGTGCATTTCGTGTATGGCAAGACGGCTTTACGGAGAAGAAGAAAATGCTCAGCGCTGCAGAATTTCACTGTTCGGTGCTAGTAACGCGGTCATGGAATGCTCTTCTGCGCGTCACAAAACGACGTCAAGTAGCGTTAGCCATGTGGAGGCATACTATGACGAAGACTTGTTTAAGCCATGCTTTTACTAACTGGAAACATTTCCTAGATAATCGACATGGTCAGTATGCCGTCGCTGCCACCATGAATCGTATGCTGGAGCAGCGAATAGTACAGAGATTCTTCTCCGCCTGGAGTCTCTTGGGTACAACTCGCGCAATGGCATTTCGTCGTGAGCAAAGAGAGTTGCAGAGATGGAGGCGAAGATGCTGGATTCACTGGAAAATATGGCATCTATCCTGTCGATGGCAACGCTCTCAGCAAATTATACTGTTGCAAACTATCTTTTCTCAAGGGTTAAAGCGCTACGCTATTCAACAGCAAGCATGTCGCGAGGTTTGTTTACGAACAGCTCGGAATGTGCTGCATCGGTCTCTATCTCAATGGCGTGTTGAGTTGTGGTTAGTCCGCAATCAAAAGAAGTTGGCCTTGGAAGCCGAACGAAACGCTCTGACGCACTGGAAGGCGTTCGTAGCGGCCTGTCGCCAGAAGAGGCGGTGGGAACATTACGTCCAGCAGTTGCATCGCTCCCAGACCCGAAGTAAAGCAATAACGTTAGACCAAAAGCGTCAAGTGGGCGGTACATTCCGCCACTCGAGAGCTTTACAAGCGCAACTGAAGCGAAATCGCATCTTAATGACCCACGTGCTCCATGCCTGGTACCTCGCCGTGCAGAATCGCCGTCGCCGGAGCTTAAAGAGGCTGCACCGATCTCGTCCAATATCGAAAGCGAGACAAATAGCACTGGAGTTCTGGGCTCGTCGCGTCATGGACAAGTGCTTCCTTATATGGAGAGAGCAATCATTAGGCAAATTAGCAGAGATGGCATAAGATACTGTGTATGATGCAGTCAGTGTACATGACGTGATACAAGTATGGGCGTTTCGATGGTCGAGCGTATTTAACGGTTAACTTTACGGTTCAACACAACGGTTCGATCCGTGTACCGTAAATAACATCAAATTATTGTGTCCCGCACACGACGCTTGTCAGCCAATCGACTGCTGGCACATTACCATTTTCGAGCCTTCATTTGATATGAGAAGAGTGCAAAGGTTGTATGCTGTATGAAAAAATGATTGAATGTTGTCGGACATGATGAGCACGACTTTTACCGCTTCCTGAGGCGCGCAGCGCGTGGAGGAGCAAAATTCTACATGAGATTGCTGATTCGACACCACCTAGCGCATAGTACTGTTATACATCACGTAATTCGAACGCTGCTCTTGTTTGGCTTAGAGCTCGAGACTTTGCGTCCGTAGTCGTCTTAGTGTTGGTTATAATCTACCGTAAGAAGCATGTCGAAAAGGAATCTAGGTTAAAACGCGATGTTGCGAGAAGATTGGTCGGTTTCTTGCGGCACGAGAGCAGAGAGCTCTGGTAGCGACCGAGTGCACAATTCTGCCGCTTCTGCCATTCTGTTGCTGGCGCCGACTATGTGGGGTCAGCGCAGCGCCAGCGAACTGATTCGAGTCTTTTGGGTTGACTCGAGGAGTCTAATTTTCTGACTTGCATCTGCATATCTGTCACTCTAAAATGGAATAGAAAGTGCTCAGAGCGAACCAGCAAAAGGAACTCATAGGGATGAGAAGGCTTGTGGTTCGAACACGAACAACAAACACTGAATGGCCACAATTTTCGTCTGCAACTTCAATTATTAGTGCTCGAGTTGAAGTGTTCGCTTTGCGTAACGACTGTAGTCTTGGAGCTGCCGTCAAAACTAAAAAAAACGGATGGACCGGATACTTGTCTGACTTCACGTGTCAAGCAAAGAAAATCGACTCCGAGGAAGAAAATACCACGGCATTTCAATGTCACAACGTCGTTGAGCTGGACAGCTCGTTGCCAGATTCTGTTCTGTACCTTATGCAAGTTGGCGTATGTAGCTCGACTTTCGTGGTTCTTTCGATCCAGACAGTCAGTTATCTCACCGAAACAAACGAGTTGAAAGCGTGGCCACTGCTGTCGTCGACAGCAGCTTTCAGCAGCCTGTCCATGAGCGCCTGAAGTTGCCCTCAGTGCTTCAACACTAGTTGGGCTTCTAATTTTGTCATTTCTGCTGTATCTAAGCGTCTTATTAAAATTTCAGTTTTTTTTCCCCTCAACATAGGAATTATCACCCTCAGTTTTGGCCATGCTAGCGGCTTCTTCAAATTTTCGTAAGATTACCGTCACACTTTACGATGAAGTTTCCTACCTGTAGTTCGACTAGTCTTCAGCACGAATTCCAAAGAAAAAGAGTTCGGCGACGGGCTCTGGCAAACTTGCCACACGGCAACGAACGCCTCGTGGAAAAATACTCGCCGTTTGCCACCATTACCAACTCGACCAAACTAAAGCCAGAATCAAGAGCAGAGACTCATACTGAACCGATGCGGTGCTATCGTGTCCTTGCTACGACTTTTGACGATTGATTGCCTGTCTTAACGTAGCAGAAATCTTCAGGCTGCTCCAGTTCATTCCTCAATTCGCCTTCCAGGTGTCTAACTAAGCCACACAACTTAACTCAAGTCCCAAGCAACGCAACGCCAACAACTGCAAGAACACCATGGCGCGTTTTAAATTCGCGTCCTTCCTGCTTGCCGTCGCCACGCTCTTGTTGGTCGTGTCGGCGGAAGCTCAACTCGGGGGATTACTTGGCAATCTTTTGGGTACCGTGACTGGTGTTGTGGCAACGACTGTATCGTCACTGGTGAAGATCGTGGACAACCTCTTGTTCGACTCGCACCGGATCATCATTGTCATGGATAAGGGTACCAAGCCGGTACTCGATGCTGTTGCTAACAGCAGTACCGCAGTTTGGACGGAGGCTGAGCGAATTCAGAACATCAAAAATATCGTCGATGCGCTCAAGCTGCACGCGCAAGAGTCTCAAGGCCCACTGGTCCAGCTACTTTCGGCAGCGGGGATTCAGTTCAAAAGTCATTGGATCACCAACACAGTCGAAGTATTGGATTGCCCGCTTGAGCTCATTGAGAAAATTCTCGCTCTGCTGTCGGTGAAGGAGATTATCTATGACCTTATCATTACTCTGGATCCTCCAGAGCCCACAGCCGACTCGACGAGCAACACTGTCACTGCTGGATGGGGTGCCACTAAAATCAAGGCGACGAATGTATGGGCCTCAGGAAACACCGGTCAGGGCGTGGTTGTCGGCACCATCGATACCGGTGTGCGCGGAACTCACGAGACTCTCGCTAGCAACTGGATCGGGCCGTACGGATGGTATGATCCGGCTCAAAAGACGGCGACCCCGTACGACCCCAATGGCCACGGAACGCACACGATGGCCACGATCGTCGGAGGAAAGGGAACCGGCATCGCTCCTGGCGCTAAGTGGATGGCGTGCAAGGCCTGCGAAACGACCTGCACTCTGACTATGATAAACACTTGTGCACAGTACATGCTGTGTCCGACGGACACAAACGGCAACAACTGTAACCCCGCCAAGGCTCCACACATTGTAAGCAATAGTTGGGGTACTGGTCAAGGCATGACCTACTTCCAGCCGATGCTTGACGCTTGGAACGCCGCTCGCATCATTCCAGTCTTCTCGGCTGGCAATTCGGGCAGTAAAGGGTGCAGTTCAGTTGTGTCCCCGGGTGATTCAGCCAAGGCCTTCTCTGTTGGAGCTACCGACACTAGCGACGCACTGGGCTCATTCAGCAGTATTGGTCCTGCCGTCAATGGACTTATCAAGCCCGACTTCATTGCGCCTGGAGTGAGCATTCGTTCGGCTTGGAATGGGAATAACGCAGATTATGTGTCACTCTCGGGGACGAGTATGGCGGCACCTCATCTTGCCGGAACAATCGCGTTGGCTTTGAGTGCACGCCCTGGCTTCTGCTTTGACACGATGAAGGAGATTTTGTCGGGTTCGACTGACCGGTCATTACCGAGGGCTGCCCAGACGTGCGGCACAATGTCGGACACGGTCTTCCCAAACAACGAGTACGGCTACGGCCGCATCAACGCTCAGAACGTTGTCAACGCAGCTCTTGCGTATTAATTAACCAGAACGAACGTCTAGGGCTGAAGTTGCATTTTTTGAGTTGCCTAAGCGTTCAATACATATTACGTCTATGGGATATTTTAGTTCTCCTTTTTAAGTTTTGCGTTTCACTCAGGAATTTAATTATACGGAAGTTACAAAGTAAATGTCTAACAGAAAAACAGCAGTTCGGTGTTTTTTTTCTGTTTGGAAGATTTTTTTATAACACAAAATAGCAGATTTTACATCTTCGAAACAAAAGTATATTTAGGCTGAGATGAAAAAGAGACAACTTACAACCGCCTAAGCATTAGCCAAGTAACCCTCTCGTCTTCATGAAGAAATTTTTGCTCCAGGACAAGTCGAACGAGCGGTGGCTGAGAGTACAAAAGGCGCGATCAGAGATAAACCGTGCTCAAGCTCAAATCCGAATGGTAATCTATATGCAAACCGATCTCTTAAGGCTGACATAAAAAACGATTTCTAAGTTAGAAAGTGAAACAATCAATCCCTTCTGGTGGAAAGTACAACGTAGATCGTGTTCAAGTATTCGGTGGATTGAGGAAGCTGAGTCAGCTATAAACGAAGACCAAAACGAAAGTCGTAAGGTGGAGTGCATGTTCATAAAACTTGGCCAAGTCCCACGTACAGCAGATACAGAACTCTTTCAAGAGCACATCACCCGACTTAAGAACAACGATCTGTATAGTACGCAGCCTCCAAACCAGCCCCCGGAAGATTTTAACTGTAAGAAAACTTACTATCAATATTACGTAGTGTATCAGTTCATTTACTGCATTGAGAAAGTATGTATTCGCTCACACCTCCCGTGATGTCTTCAACAGTTGATTTTTGACTTATGATAATTATGTATTTTTAAACCAAATCTTAACACAAAAATAGCAGTTTCACGGAAATCGAGTGTTTTAAAGTTAAGACGGCTGCAATTTGGAATGTGCCACAGCATTTATTTTGTGCGGTGCGGTGTATTGTGCATACATAATACATACTACCGTTTGTAGTTCAAGCTTAACTTTGGACACATTGTTGTAGCAGATGTACGCTACCGTACTGTGCGAGTTGTGCTGCATCCACGATGGATATTGATGCTGGGCATCTGATGCGCCTGCTCTGCAGCCGCTAAAATGGAAGTTGGAGTCTGTTCGGGTGACATTCACTAGTTGTAATTTACCGTGATGTTACCCTTGGCTGCCACAAGCAACATTCGCTTATGGCATTACTACATGGGAAGGGTATACGTGGACCAACTATTTGGCCGCAAAAGGTACACACAGATACCGGTATTTTCGCCATTTCTGAAATTCGAAAAACTCTAAAAATCAGTTACCCTTGTCCGTCCATTCCGCATTCTATCCCCCCCCTCCGATGGCGAGATTAGCAGCCAATGAGAAGGCAAGCGTGGCCGACGCGCTCCGAGGATCGACGACAGCTCAGACAGCGAGGGCGACGCTGCTTTACGCCAGGCTCTCTCCACCTCGGCCAACAGTCAACAACAAGATGCCAAGAAGAAGAACAGCACGGCGTCGTCCGTGAACTCAGGGAGCGGCGATATATTAACCCTCCTGCTGTCGCTTGTCCCCGGTTCCATGGAGTATTCAACTCATGGGATGATCTGGAAGCTGCATTTAGAGGTAAGCAGTGCCTACCCCTTTATTTTGGTCCTATCTATCTAACATATACGGTTGTTATGTAGCTACCAGAGCGACACGTTTCAAATGTACAAGCTCCGCACGTCAAATTCGATTAAAGATCGGAACCGAAGCCGTAGCAAACAAGCCGCGAAGCGAGGCAGCAAACCCGCGCTCTGGGATGAATCTCTTGGCTACTACATGAAGACATGGAATTGCACGCATTAGAGATCTTATGCGTCCCGAGGAAGAGGAGCCCGGCAAAATCACACCACTCGCCGCATCGAATGCCCAGCTAAACTTCATGCGTTGTTGTCTGAAAATAGGAGTGGTGGTTACCATGTATCTGTTCGGAGGCACGAATCGACCCACAATCACGAGATCGACGAGAACATCTTCAACACTTACCCCGAGACGAGGAAGATCACTTCTCCAGGGACTTGTAATGTCGCACAGACAATGTGGCAAGGTACGCTCGTTACTACAACGATTTTTAGTATTACAGACATATCCTAACGTGTTATACATCTCTAGATGGAGCTAAACGAAAGAAGATCCTTCGCTATCTGAAGGAGGTTTTGGGAAAGCCGCTTATACTCAAGGATGTGAGCAACATGATTGCTGAAATGCGCCGAAACTCGTATATGTCGCCTGATGATAATGTGCGCGTGACGGAAGTGCTGCAAGATTTCAGTGGGGGTCCTGGGAACGTGGTCAACGTGTTCCGTGATCCCGATGCCAAGTTGACAAGTTGCATCACATTTCAGACGAGCCACATGAGATGTATGGCGACTGTTTCCTGAGGTGGTGTGTGTCGATGCAACCCATGGAACTAACATCAGCAGGTGAGGGTTGATGGCATTTGTTATTAGTTGGTTCTGGTTGGTTCTAGTTGGTTTTGGTTGGTACTAGTTGATGCTTGCTGTTTTTAGTCTTGAGAACAGCTTGAGATTGACATGTTTGGCCTGTGTGAATAGATATCGCCTTTTCAGCTTTATGCTGACGGATAATTTTGGTAGTGGCGCGTTTGAGCTGCATGCACTTGTCGATAGGGAGAAACAAGAAAACATGAAGAGCGCTATCACCACATTCAAGCGTAACAACGGAAACTGGAGTGACGTCAAGGTCATCGTCATTGACAAGGATTTTACGGAACTATTCGCGCTTGAGTCAGAATTTCCTGAAGCGACCGTGATCCTGTGTCATTTTCATGTTATTGATTACCTCAAACGTGAAGTTGGCAAGCGAGACTATGGATTTACAGGGTTTGAGAAACTGCACATCAGAAAGTTTCTTACGTGTGTGGTTCGCACGTCACGCGAGAGTGAATTTAATCATTACTTGGAGGCACTAGAGTGCATTGAAACGCTGCTTTTTCTGCAACAATCCTCTGAGGATACTTACAAGTTTAAAATGAAACGGACTGGAATTCGTGTTGACAGCAAGTATGATGACGAGATGAAGCTGCTTGCTCGCATTGCCACGCATCACGCATGTCACTTAGTAGAGGACCAATACAAAGCAAGCTCGAAAGTGGCGTATACGGTGGAGGCAAGTGCTCTGGCTGAATACGACACGTTTGTAAACCTGGAATCCAACAAGAGCTACGCGGTGAGTTGAGAGAACAACACGTGTAGTTGTGTCTTCAACCAAACACAACTTCTGCCGTCACATCATTTATCTGCACCGCAAACAGTCTCGCTCTCCTGTCATACCGGCTGCTGCTCTTCCTCCTCGCTGGGCTCTCCTGGATGACCAAGATTGTGAGTACGAAGACAACCTCTCATCCAGCTTCTCGGTTATGGATATGGGACTATCACAGCGACCACGAATAAAGTCCTACAATGCAAAGTACAAAGAAGCTTTCCTAGCCTGTTAAAAAATCGCAGAAGTCATTACCGGCAAGGGGACGTCTGACTTCAACTGCTGGTTTGACCACCTGAAAGTCTTGAACGCAGGGCTAGAGAAAACCTTCCTTTGAGCAGAAGCCAGGATTCCACTTCAGTAGAAGCGCTGGATCAATGTGAAGATTCCAGTCTAGACGATCCCAGGCTCGATGAAACGTTGCCGGCAAGTACTCAATATCCCACTAGAAACACTAAGCGTATGCTTGATTTGGTGAGTGCCGAAAATTGAGCTAAACAAAGCTAGTCGCCCGTCTGGACGGCCACATCTGCAGCCAGTGAAGAAAAAAAGCTAGGAAACGAGCCGAATTTGATGCCAATAAAGAGCTCGCCGAGAGACTTACAAAGCATGGAGATGTTACTTTGACAGATTTCGCTGCCGTTCAGCACTCGAACTTGTCTTTTGTGGATGTGGAAACCACATCCGATAAATTGCACTTCTTCCACCACGACGCAGTATTGAAACATCCAAGGCGCGCATCATAGAGGCGGGAATAATAGAGACTCTTGGATCCGAGGTATTCTACCAGGTATGTTCTACTTGAGTCGGTACGTAGTTGGTGAGAGTTGGTATGTTTGGTATTGAGTTGGTGTTGGGTTGGTATACCGACTATACCAACTATTCGAGCCAATGTGGTGGAGTGGGGTTTGCAAAATCACGTTGCGATCCACTCGGACACACAGTGCCCTGGATTGCCGACTGACGGAGGGGGTACTCCGATAACCATGGGGTTGCTGAGGGCTCACCTTGTGTACCCGTCGGCGGGGCTGG